TACCACATTCATGAAGACTAGCTAGGAAAATAAGAGCTATACAAAAGATACTAAATTTGGATGACGACATTGTAATTTTCACTCTAAAAAAAGTTTTGTTGTTTTATCATAGAAAACCTTACATGCTCCCAATATATAGAGAAGTCTTTGATTACTGCTACAATTTTTGTGAGGTGATCCGACAAAACTGTCATTAGATTTGTTTAGCTGGTTTTATTTCCTTTAATTCTAAAGTTATAATTACTTATTCTTAAAAGTCCCAAGATATCGAATGGTGATTGATATGGTGAATGGAGCTATCACTCTATTTTTTTTTCATACCAACTACCACACATTAATAAATATTTTTCTTGAACTAGAGCAATAACGTAAGTTATTTAGCTCGAATGAATCTTGGCATTTTCAATAATCATAGTATTTTTATTTAATAATTTTGTGCAAATTGATTGTACGGTTGTACCAATGTTTCATTTTTTTAATCAAAGATTCAAAAATATTTATTCGTAAGAAATACGAGAAATTTAGGATTGGTATTTTTTGGAAACAAAAAAGAAGAAGAAGGATTGAGTGATTTGTCTAGGCCCATATTGGGCCTCTTTCGGGCCTAAGAAACTCTATCTTATTCCAAGTAGATGACACGTGTCCTCTGGCACCATTCGGTTCCGTACGCCGATGAGATAATTAGTCGTCCTCCGTTGTATCGACGGTTGAATTTTAATATGTCTTTGATCCAACGGTCAATATTCGAAGTTGAAATTCCCAGCAAACCTCGTCTTCATTGAATATTTATTAGACAGATCGATATAAAATGTGTTTCCTTTGATTTCCCCAATTTCTAGGGTTTCGAAAATATGACTACTACATTCGAATTTGTGCAACCAAGAATCCACGGATTTGCAACTCGTTGTTGTAGTAATAGTCTATTGTACTCGAAAGGTTCGAGCTTTTTCAACGATCGTTGTAGGGTTTATCGCCAAAACCCGAATCGGTTTGTCTCCAATTCAATCACGCTTCCTCTGCAGAAGAAACAAGTTACAGTGTTGAGTAAGCACGAAAGGTTTAATCTTTGGGATGGGTTTTCAAGAAAGAAGAGTAGATTAGTTGTGAATTGTCAAGAAGATGATCAGAAAGAGAGTTCTAGTGAGGAGGAAGAAAGCAGTCAGAGTACTCCGGCGAAGTCGGGTTCGTCTTCGAAGAGGAAAAGAGAGAAGCAAAGGGAAGATAAGGTATGGTGGTCAAAGGGGAAGAAATGGCAGTGGCAACCGATAATTCAAGCGCAAGGGATTGGAGTTTTGTTGTTGCAATTGGGTGTTGTTATGTTTGTGATGCGGTTGCTTCGACCTGGAATACCTATACCTGGATCGGAGCCGCGAGTTCAGACGACTTTTGTGAGTGTACCGTATAGTGAGTTCTTAAGTAAAGTTAATAGTAACCAGGTGCAGAAAGTGGAGGTTGATGGTGTTCAAGTTTTGTTTAAGTTAAGAGATGATGGAAAGTGGCAAGAGAGTGAAAGTAGTAGGTTGTCTGAGTCGTCTGAATCGCTGTTAAGAACTGTGGCTCCGACCAAAAGGGTTGTTTATTCCACCACGAGGCCGGGTGATATTAAAACTCCGTATGAGAAGATGCTTGGGAATAATGTCGAATTTGGATCGCCTGAGAAGCGTTCTGGTGGATTCTTTAACTCTGGATTGGTAAAGCCACTGGTGTTACAACCCTACACCACATTATACTATCTGTGCTACTCCTTGATGATGATGCTTTATAATTTTGCAATGAATGATGTTTTTGCTAGGTCTTTTCAAAATAAAGGAATTCATTTTCACTTTTGTGAGCATTTATGCGAAAAGTTTCTTTTTCTGTTTGTTGCAGATAGCTCTTTTCTACATAGCGGTGCTTGCAGGGCTTATTCGATTCCCTCTTAGCTTCTCCACGGTTTGTATCTCCATTTTACTTTAATGTGGTTTTTTAAATTTTCAATTTCCTAAAAATCACTATGCATGTACACAGAGTAGTACAACCGGCCAACTTAGGACTCGAAAATCTGGTGGTCCTGATGGGGGAAAAGTCTCTGGTGGAGGTGAAACAATCACTTTTTCAGATGTTGCAGGTGTTGATGAAGCAAAGGAAGAGCTAGAGGAAATCGTGGTAGGTTTTTCATTCCTTAAAGAAGCTTCACATGTTGATTGATTATCAGATTGTCTGTCATAGCTGTATTCTCTGTCTAGTAATTGTCTTTTACACATGGGTTAATCAATGCAGGAATTTCTTAGGAATCCTGACAAGTATGTCCGTCTAGGTGCACGTCCTCCGCGTGGTGTCCTATTGGTGAGTTATATCATTTGATTTCACTTTATTCTTATATTACGTATATTCCATGGTTTAACGTTTGGTAACAAGATATCTCTTTAGAATGATATGCCTTTGATTCCTTTCTTTTCCAGGTTGGTCTTCCCGGAACAGGGAAAACCCTTCTTGCAAAGGCTGTTGCTGGGGAAGCTGAAGTCCCCTTCATAAGTTGCTCTGCAAGTGAGTTTGTAGAGCTGTATGTCGGTATGGGTGCCTCACGTGTAAGGGATCTTTTTGCACGGGCCAAGAAGGAAGCTCCATCGATTATATTTATTGATGAGGTTAGAATAGGTAGTCGATGCCAGATTACCTCCAGTACGTTATACCTCTGGGCATCTTAAACAAGATTTTTTATTTGCCTTTTATGCTCCAGATAGATGCTGTGGCAAAAAGCCGTGATGGTAAATTCCGTATCGGCAGCAATGATGAAAGGGAGCAAACTTTAAATCAGTTGCTCACTGTAAGTCTGCTATCATGCACCTTTCCTGTGTAAGTAGCAATCCTGATTTTTCCATGACCCGTTCATATGTTGGAAACTTTTCTGCAGGAGATGGATGGTTTTGACAGCAACTCTGCGGTGATCGTTCTTGGAGCTACAAATCGTGCCGATGTCTTAGACCCGGCCCTGCGTCGTCCTGGGAGATTCGATCGTGTTGTTACGGTTGCTAGAATGGATTAGCTCTGCTTATTAGTAATTGTTTATGCAGTTTAATTAGGTATTCAAAGGCACTGATGCATTTTTCAGGTGGAAACGCCAGACAAAGTTGGAAGAGAATCCATTTTGAGAGTACATGTGTCAAAGAAAGAGCTTCCTTTGGGAGATGATGTTAACCTTGGTAGTATTGCCTCAATGACAACTGGTTTTACGGGGTATGCTTTTGTGTCTTATCGTTGAGTTGAAATTTCTTCAGTTATACGTTTTTGGGTGTATATCTCATAAACTGTTTTTTCCTATTTTGCAGGGCAGACCTTGCAAACTTGGTAAACGAGGCTGCCTTGCTAGCTGGAAGAAAGAACAAGACGACTGTTGAAAAAATTGACTTCATTCAAGCTGTGGAGCGATCAATAGCGGTATCTTTATAACCTTTCTATTCTATCAATCACGTAAGCCAATTGTCAAAACGTGATTTTTTACGAAGCATCTGTTTCAGGGCATAGAGAAGAAATCTGCAAGATTAAAAGGCAACGAGAAGGCAGTGGTGGCAAGGCATGAAGCTGGGCATGCAGTGGTTGGTACCGCTGTTGCAAATCTTCTTACTGGACAGCCACGTGTTGAGGTATAATGTGAAAACACGCTCACTGTTGCAAACCTTCTGTTGTTAGTACGCGCAAATGATTCAAGATTTGCTCATCTTTGTTGTCAGAAATTAAGCATATTGCCAAGATCAGGAGGGGCATTGGGATTTACATACATTCCTCCTACAAGTGAAGACAGATATTTGCTCTTCATTGATGAGCTGCTTGGGCGTTTAGTTACCCTTCTTGGAGGTCGTGCAGCTGAAGAAGTCGTTTACTCAGGGCGTATATCAACAGGTGCATTTGACGATATAAGGCGGGCTACTGATATGGCATACAAGGCAGTAGCAGAATATGGTCTTAACCAAAAAATCGGACCTGTGTCTGTGGCTACACTTTCTGGTGGTGGGATTGACGACTCTGGAGGCTCTCCATGGGGAAGAGATCAGGTAAATTCATACTGCAATGCACTTGCCTAGGTTGTTTTATACTGTCCATTGAAATAATGCAAAAATTAACCTTCCATGTTAATACACAGGGGAAACTAGTTGATCTTGTTCAAAAAGAAGTGACAATTTTGTTACAATCTGCTCTCGATGTTGCGCTGTCTGTTGTACGCGCTAATCCAGATGTATTGGAAGGGCTTGGTGCTCAACTTGAAGGTATAGTATAAATTTATTTACTTTCACCGAAACAGTTTTCAAAAACGTGTAGGACACTATAAGATATCATCCCTAAAAGCTTTGGTCATCCACGGCTTTGCTTGAGTTTGGTTGATGTTATGATAACTGGCTGATTCTGTTGATGAAATATCATGTTTTGGTGCAGAGAAAGAGAAAGTCGAAGGTGAAGAACTTCAGAAGTGGTTAAGTATGGTGGTTGCACCTGATGAACTCGCAGTCTTTGTCAAAGGAAAGCAAGAACTTTTGCTCCCGGCACAAGCTAGCTCCAGTTAACAGATACTCTGTTCTATCATAAATTATAGCCATAAAGACAGTATCTAACACGGATCATCAGCTATTTCCTCGCTGCCTTCTGTATCTCCAGGTCAGATCTGGTTATCACCATTGCCCTTTAGCATCCATGGTTCCAGCATGCATGGAACACTTGAATCAAAACTTGAAGAACCATTTTGGAATATGAAACTGGTGATATCTCATAGATTTTGCTGGATGTGTGTTGTAAGATTTGGTATTCTTGCTAGATACAGTCTCTTAAAGAGAACTTGGCAAAAGTGTATAAGTGATTCAGATGTATAAAAAAGCCAGACTTATATGTGTAAAGATCTTAAAGACCCCTACAAAATTTTGCAAATTGCAATAGCACACTCATTGTAGTCCACAAAAAGTTGCATCAGCATTACTCATATTAGTCTATTATTCTCAGATTTCTTGAAGTAGTGTAGTGAATCTTGAAAATGTTCAGAAAAATAATAACTAGTTCATGTGATGTCAAACAAGATGAAGAAAGAGTAGCTTATATATGATTGAAATCCGAAGAATTATAGAGAATAAAAACAAAGGCATGAAGAATGCAAATTACTATACATTTTTCTTCTATTTTTTGAAGAGGCCACCTAAGCCACCAAATCCACCCTCGCTCTTCTTAGGCGGCACTGGCGTCGGAGCTGAGTTTTTACCGCCGCGAACGGTTCCTCGGCTTCCGGTGGTACCTTCTTTCTCCTCCACCTTCTTTAGAATTGGATTAGTCTCGTAGAACTGATCTTGTTTTGTCATAAACCCAAGAACAAAGTCGATGGGATTCTTCTCCTCCTTTGCACCGCCTGAAGCTCCCTTTGTGCCAGTGGCGTAAACCCTCACGGTGGCCGGAGCAAATGACATAAGAAGCGAAGAAACCATTGTTGTTATCTCTCTCTCTTCTCTGGTTTCCCTTTTCTTTATCGGTAGTGTGTGTATGTGTGTCTTCGTGTGGCATTTGTTACGAAGGGATTATAATAAGGTTGGGTGAATCTGAGCCGTTGGATTTTTTTTGGCACAAGCTCTCCACAAGTGTCTTATCTTCTTTCTCTCTTCCCTTCACCCATTTTTCTTTAAATCACTTGGATACATTTTTATTTTGGTTTAAAATTTTTTAGATATATTTGGGCACAATTATGTATAGGGATTAGGGATGGTCAGGTTATCGTTATTCTTAAGTTCTTAAATGGAAAATTGCAGAGTCAAAGTCTCCCATCTTCTGAAGAGACACGCCTTGGTTTTTTGAGTGTGTGATCTTGTCCCAAACCTTTTTTCTGTTATTGGGCCGAGGCCCATTTATTTAAAAAGAACAGTGACACGGTGGGATATAAACGTCTCTAGAGCTTTAGAGTAGACTCCTGCGAGTCTGCGACTGTTAGCGCCACAACACTAATGAACGAAGTTCGAAGAAAGTTACAAGATCACTATAGCCTCGCCAAAAATATCAAAGCTACAAATCAATTCCATTAAACGATCCAAATATGCTCACTTATTATTTCACCAAAAGCAATGCTCAGTGTTTATTATTAGTGTAATAGTGTTGGATCTACACATGTTCTTCTTATTCGATGGAATCTGCGACCGTATATACTACTGAGTGAAAAATAAGGCAAAAGCAAAAAGAAAAAAGAACCAAAGAGAAGCAATGTTTCATCGGCCGCACTGGTTCACTCAAAAACACTACTTACACTTTTCCTCCTCGTTTCTATCGTGTACCTAAGTTCCGTAGCTGTCTCTTTACTGCAAATAAACCACACCATTCATTGCCATTCGTTCGTTCTCAAACCATTTCCTGAGGAGAATCTTCTAAAGGGAAACACGTCTCTTCACCACCGGTTTGCCAGAGGAAGTTGGCATAGTTGGCTGCGTAATAGGAGTTGGTAGGGTCTGCAGATATAGCTTCTAGAAAGTTCTCCTCAGCAGCCCAGAGATCGTTCCGAATTTTCCACAGGAAGATGGCGTATTTGCTGTACGCTTCTGCATCTACATCTTCTGACTCTATGGCTTTCTTGAAGCAGTTCTCCGCTCTAATACATAACCAAAAACAAACATCATTTGTCAAGTTCCAAAGTTACATAGAAGAATGACCAACCTTTTGATACTCAATGAGTCAAGTGCAAGCATATACTTCACAAAGTACAGGTAATGAAGTCTTGAATGTTAGATGCAAGAATATGTAAAAGGATATCTCACCTCTCATGGTCTTGAGTGACGAGGTAAAGGAACTGAGCGTAGTTAGCTAGGAGCAGATGGTTGTTCGGCTCTTGAGCCAAACCTATCTTATATAAAAGCTCTGTTCTAGTGTAATTGGCATAATCGTCCACTTCAATCCTTGCAGTGATCGGTGAAACCAGTCTCAATCTCATTTTACGATCAACAGTGGAATCTTGCATTTGATCTGCTTCTTCCACCATCGAATTCCACAGACTCACCTCCTCTTCTCTCATCCCTTCTCCTGAAACGGAGTCTCGATGTGTCGGTAAGTGGGAGACCTTGTCAAAATTCATCGATCCTAACCATTTGGACCCATGAAGCTCCTTACCATCTCTGCCACTTACTAAAGGCCCTAAATCAATCCTTTCTTGTATCCGATCCACACCTTTAGTAACCGCCGGTGCTTCTTTCGTCACATCAGAGTGTGGAGGAGCTGCCGCAATAGCTAGATTCGATGCAACTGAATGCACAGTGTAGTTCGCCAATAAGATCATCACATAAACCATCAAAGTAGGTGTCTGAGAGAACACACGTTGGAAAATCCACAACAATGAAGCGTGCATTTCCTTCTTAACCTGCTTAAGAACACCAACCCTAGTCTGCAACGCGAAGCTATGAAGCTCCTCAATCATGAAAACCATAGAAGAAAAAGCTCTATTGATAGAACAATAAGTAGTAGCACTAGCTTCTTTAAGCGCTTCTTCTTGTAGCTTCCTCTTTATTATCCTAAGTGATAGAGGCAAATCAACACTGTTTGCTTTCCTTTCAATGCTTGAATGGTTAACCATCTCTGCCCATGGAGCTTCCAACGAAGCTAAACCTGGAACAGACTCTTGCAATAGCTTCATAGAACCAAATCTATGATTCTTGTTATCGTTATCGTTATCTACTGCTTCTGATTTCTGTTTGTTCTCTTCTTCTGATTCTTCGCCGGAATTTCTGAATTGTGAGGCTAATTCCTGCATTTTCACAGAGAATGCTTCGTCGGAGAAGAAATCGGAGCTTGCACTACAAACTCTTCTTAAACGATTATGTTTCTTCTTCACATCAGTTCTTATCTTCTTCGTGGCGGAATTAGAAAATTCCCAAAGCTCACATGATTTAGATCGGTGAAGTTTCCCAGATTGTGTTCCGAGAAACGTCGAAGGTTTTAATCTCAAAGATCCTCCTCCGACGGAAACATCACCGGCTTTTACTCGAGAACGACGGCGTTTTGATGAAGTTAGGGTTTGCGAAAATGACGGACATTGAGGAATCGCTGTATGACGTCCTGACCAATGAAACGACGTCGTTGTTGCTACTTTTACCTCCATTGTTCCGATGAAACGCAAAAAAATCTCAGAATCTGTATAAATTCAGAAAATAAGCTATGAAGATTAAGACAAAATTGATTACGAGAAATTGAAAGATAGAGAGAATGAGAAAGAGAGAGAGCTTACTTCTTCTTGGTGATTCGAAATTCGTTCGTTGAGAGAGATTTTCTCGGGAAAATTTTATATGGTTGTGAGGTCAAATCGAATTCAGAGGCTTACGAGAGAACTCCTGAAATTTGTTAGAAACAGAGAAGAAGAAGAAGAAGAAGACAAAAGCCCTTGAACGTTTATATACGAAGAGAGAAAAATTAGTAAATTATTTAAAAGAAATAAGAGATTCATTTACCGGATATAGCCGGTGAAAAGGCGCGTGCTATTTTAGAGAAGAGATTAGATTTTTTTTTATTCCGCGGGTAGAGACGGTTACAGGTGATGAATGATAAGGACTCGGCTAAACTAAGCGACGCGGTTTATTCGGGAAAATTCACGCATTCATCGATCTTGATCCGACGGATGAGAATGAATCACGTGTTGGTTGATATATCTTGGCTTGATCTGTTGCCACGTAGGGGATTGATGTACGGAGATGGGTTCACGGACCGGACCTAACGAGGAAATTGAAAAAAAAAAATGAGTAATAAAAATTTGGTTAGAGATTGAATAGAAATTGTACATATACTTTATAGATCTAAGTATGTCAGATACAAAAATGAAGTACATAGCACCACTTGGCTTTCTTGATTTGGAGTGTTATGAATTTTAAAATCTTTAGAAAAAGCTTTAAAATCTTCATATAGATATACGTCTAAGAAAATGGATTATCTTTACCAAACACAGAGATAAGTCTACATGCATTGTTTAGTGCAATTTTATGGCATAAATCATACCATACAATTACATAAATAGATTTTTTATTTTCTTCTGATAATAGCATGAGAAAACCATAAAATTATCTCATATTGAAAGACAACATTATACTTGGGCCGTTGAGAAAACTAAATGTGATTATATCTTATCACGAATATGGAGCTATCGACCTAAGTCTTTGAATATAAAGAGTCTCTGTATTTGGCATTACATGTCTTCTCAGCCAAGAAACTGCAAATTGTAGTCTTGCTTTTCCAAAACCAAGATAGACGAAGATCCCCTAACAGCAGGAAACAAGAAGAATCAAAACAGTAACTGCTTCCTAGTGGTTTTAGGGTTTATCGAGGGGCCCAATGATGGGTTTTAGATTTGCAGCAACGAGGGTTTAGGATTTAAGACAATGATGACTCCATTCCTCGAGTCACTGAGCTCGTGTTGACGAGTTGTGTAAGATATATGAGTTAACAAAATAGAAATATGTGCTCAACAACAATAGATAAACCACAGCTACTTCATTTTTTCCTTAATTATTCTTATCCCCAGAAAATGTAAAAGCTGAAACACACAAACATTCAATCTTGTCTGAAACAACAGAGCATAAACAGAGGAAAAAACAAATCACAGATTATAAAATACAGTATGATATTATATAGGCATCAAATTTAGGCTTTTAAGTGGATGGAAAAGTTTGTAGAGGAAACCATAAACACTTCAACGTCTGGCCATTCTCCGGGTTTTAAAGAACCTCTCTCTGATTGAGATTAACTCCTTGGCGGCTTCACTCGTTGCTAACCGGTTTGTTGGAGATTCTTCACAACACCTAAGTCCCACATCCAAAATCACTTTCAAGCACTCAACTACAGGGAAACCAACTCTGAGACCACTATGAAGAATCGATTTGTCTGCAATGTCCAAAACTCTTTCTGGCAAGGCTGACTTGGTGTAGCTGTGTAGGGTAAAGCTCCCCTCAAATAGCTCATTGGTAGGTCGTTTTCCAGTGAACATTTCCAAAACGAGAACCCCAAAGCTGTATACATCACCGTGTATTGATGGTTGGCCTCCCATTCCATATTCTGCACCATAATTCACACAAAAAACGACAGCAAGATTGTAATGAACAAAACAATACATAAATTTTCTTCATTTAAACATTCCATGTGTGTGATAGTTTTACCTGGTGCAGCATACCCGATGGTTCCTCTAACACCAGCTGAGCTTAGTTGGTTAAAGAAGGACTCCTGGTCGAATTTGAGGAGAAGACGAGCCAGACCAAAGTCGCTAACATGGGCGGTTAGATTATCGTCGAGAAGGACGTTGCTTGGCTTAATATCACAATGAGCTATAGGCTCATGACAATAAACATGAAGATAATCCAAAACAGAAGCCACGTCTATGACAATGTTAAGCCTTTTAAGAAGTGTCAAGGTTCTTGAGGGCCTACGAATCTCTTCCACTTCCTCTGGATGCAGCCACCTATCCAAGCTTCCAATCGGCATGAACTCATATATGAGAGATCTGAATTCGTTTCCTTGGAAATCAATACTAGCACAAGCTGTCAATAGTTTCACAAGATTACGATGCCTTATATCCTTCAAGGATTCACATTCTGCCATAAAGCTCTTCATCGCTCCACGTCTCTGCATGTTTAGAACTTTCACTGCAACAATCTTGTTTTCTGTCGGGAGCAATGCCTTAAACACAGTACCAAAACTGCCTGACCCAATCAAATTGCTTGAAGAGAAGCCATCTGTCGCATTTCGAAGATCTCCGTAACTTATCTTTCCATGGAAGGCCCCCAAAGTGGAAGAAGTTAGATTATTAGTCTGATGGTTCTTCTTTCTTTTTCTTAACCACAGAGAAACTGAAGCTATGACCGAAAACAAAAGCAAAGCTATGCCTACGCTAACCCCGATCACAATTTCTTTAAATGAGAGGAATGCCTTGTCTCCATTGGTGGTGCTTGCGCAAAGCATGGTTTTAGTTTCAGTTCCTTGATGCCTCCACATAGGTTTCTGTTTCCAAATACTGAAACTATAGTAGAATTTTGAAATATTCCTTCTGTTGGTACGCATCCCTCGAAATTGTTATCAGATAGACTTAGACGCTGCAACTTTGAAAAATTTGCAAAATATCCAGGTATACTTCCAAAAAGATTATTGTTTGACAAATTAACTCTTTGAACAGCCACCAACCCACTTATGTCTGGAATGGTTCCATCAAAATAATTTCCTTGCAGATAGAGTTCTTCCAATGAGAAACAGGTTCCCAAATCCAAAGGAAGTTTCCCGGATAATTTGTTATGCGCGACGTTAAGTGTAACAAGATTTTGTAGTCTTCCAACATCTTTTGGTAGAGACCCGCTCAATGAATTACCAGCCATGCTTAAGTTAACAAGGGATGAAATTTGCATAATTTCTCGAGGTATAGTCCCATTCAACTTATTATACTCTATCCACAAATGTAGCAAGATCCTGCAGTTACCAAGACTTGGAGGAACGACTCCATCAAAATTGTTGTAAGACAAATCGAGTTCTGTTAACCGACTAAAGTTGCCTATAAAAGATGGTATCTCTCCTGACATCCTATTTGAGTAGAGACTTAATAACCCCAAATCTGAAAGCTTACCAAGAGAGGTTGGGAGTGGTCCAGTCAACATATTACCTCCCAAGCCAAGCATTTGTAGGCTTATGAGATTACCAATGTCATGAGGAATTCTTCCAGAGAAGAAATTTGCTGAAAGGCCTAAATAAATGAGTGTGGCGGATAGATTGGCAATGATAGGCAAGTCACCCCCAAGCCTATTCCGACTAATCAGTAAGAACACTAGTTTGGTGCAGTTACTCAAAGAACTAAGGAATTCAAGATCTCCATGAGAGTAAGTTCCCAAAGAATTGGTATCAAGTAATAACCATTGCAAATTTGGTACTTTTCCAAAGGTAGGAATACTTCCTGTCAAACTGTTGTGATTCATTCCCAATTTTTGAAGAGTTGAGATATTGGAAATTGTTGCTGGGATAGATCCTGTGAGATAATTAACTGCCATATTTAACTCTCGAAGATTTGGTAGCAGAATACCAAAATCATGTCTCAGGCGACCCGAGAAATGATTATCAGCGATATATAAGTCCTCAAGTGAGGACAAATTGAAGATAGATGGAGGAAAAACGCCTGAGAATTTGTTCATTGATAATTCCAGAAGCGCCATTTGAGTCAATCTAGCTATATCATCAGGAATTCTTCCTTCTATATTATTTTCGTCAAAGCTCATTTCTCTAAGTGATGTCAAGTTTCCTAGAGATGCAGGAAGCTTCCCTTGCAGGTTATTAGTACCAAGATTTAACCTAACAAGCTTCGTCAACGACCCTATTTCGGAAGGAACACAATGTCCAAGGTGATTTGAAATTAAATCAAGCTCCAACAATCTAGAGAAATTAGAAAAACTGGCTGGAATCCCACCTCCGAGAAAATTATAGCTCATGTTCAAATGTTGAAGTCTAAACAAGTTTCCCATCTCTTGAGGAATAGTACCACCAAAAGAGTTATCATAGAGATTAAGTGATATGAGAAACGAAAGATTACCAATAGATGGTGATATCACTCCGCCCAATTGCAACCCTCCGAGGTCCAAACGAGTAACTCTCTTGTGTTTGCGGCCACATCTAACCCCCTTCCAGCTGCAGAGAGGGAATGAATTATTCCACGAGGACAAGGCATCTCTTTTGCCTTCAGAAACTTGAGACTTGAACTCCAACAACGCTTGCCTATCACTTTCATCGGTAAAACCATGTGATTCAAGTAGCATGAGAGCATTGAAAGCAAGTGAAAGAAACAGTCGGTAAAATCTTGTGGTGCTTCTCATATTTTGCAGGAAAGTGAAAATATTTGAGACGAAGCAATTGCCAAATGTCTTTTAACTTGTGGTGATAATGCAACTTGAAGCAAAAGACAGTAAGTACCACAGAGAAAACTGCAAAACGTTTCCTATATGTAATAAGTCAATTAGTCAACTGCCTAAAATAGACAAAACAAAACACTTCACTAATATTCATTACTTTTCTGTAGACATCATGATGATGGGTCTGAGCATTGAAGCAAATACAAGACTCTTGCCTTCTAGATCATTGAGATAGATTCTTGCCATCTAAGTCAAGTAGATTTTTTCAGAAGTTTAACTTATCTGAATTAAAAAAAACATTTTCACGTGTCTTCATGACTTTTCTATAGACATGGATGGGTCTAAAGCATTGACAACAAGTAAAAGACACAGTTTATGCTTTTTTTTTTGTCTTTTTTTTTTTTTTTTGTGTCTCGGTATCTTTTGGTGCTTCTCATAATGCTTCTCATAATGAAGGAAATGCAAAAAATATTTTACCTAGTGGTGATAATAAATTGGCTCACAACCCTATAGAATGCGAGACATTGAGATGGACTCTTGCCTTCTAGATTCTTGCCATCTAAGTCGAGTAGTTCTATCTAAAAAATTGGAAAAACAATTTCATTAGTCTTTACGACTTTTCTTTAGTCTACACAATAGACTCAAAGATATCAATGTAGAAATTGACCAATTGATTAAGAATTATAGCATCTCATGACCTTGGTTCATGTTCCTTGCATCTGAAGAATTCTATGAAGCTTCTCTCTTGAGCATCACTTGCCATGATCCCGTCTGGAACTACTATTCTCTTCATGACCAGTTTTTAATGCTATCTGGTCATCATAAAAATAATCGATTGCAAGTGGCATTGCTCATATCATGACTTGATTAAAATACACAAATAATCAAATTCTCCATCAAAGTGTTTTTTTTTCCTCCATTCAAACATCCTCAAATGTTACAAGTTACTTAATTAATATTAACCGCATAATTGATTGATTACAGTACTCACTAAACACATTTACCATTTCAACATGGAAATTTCTAATTCACTTTCTTGCAAGAGGAGCTCCATAAACTTTTAACCAAAAAAGAGAGGTAAATGTTACAGAATTATAAGGATCACTCATATAAAGCCTATTCCATTGTAAACACTTAAGCGTAGTCTCTATTGTCCAGATGTAGATATATGTCTAAGCAAATGGATCATCTTACCAAATACAGAGATAGTCTACATGAAAATTTATGGCCTAATGCATACCATACAATTACATAAATGGATTTTTTAAATTTATTTCTGATAATAGCATGAGAAAACCATAAAATTATCTCATATTGTAAGACAACATTATACTTGGGGCCTTGACAAAACTAAATGGGTTTATATCTTATCTATTCGGAGCTATCGACCCAAGTCTTGTTAGGCAAGAGGATTTACAGAGTATCTGTATTGGCATTACATGTCTTCCCAGCCAAGAAACTGCAAATTGTAAGTCTTGTATCCAAAACCAAGATAGAAAAATCCAAACAGCAGGAAACAAGAAAAATCAAAACAGTAACAAAAAGACGAGGAAGAGATCAAAGGACAGGCCGTAATTGCTTCCCAGTGGGTTTAGGTTTAACGAGGAGTCCAGTGATGGGTTTTAGATTTGCAGCAACGGGGAGGGTTCAGGGTTTAAGACAATAATGTCTTCTTTACTCGAGTCACTGAGCTCGAGTTGACGTCTTGTGTAATATATATGATTTAACAAAGTAGAAATATGTGCTCAACAGCAATAGATAAACCACAGCTACTTCATTTTTGCCAAATGTATTCTTATCCCAAGAAAATTTAAAGCAGAAAACACAAACATTCAATCTTGTCTGAAAACAACAGAGCATAAACAGAGGGGAAAAACAAACCACAGTGTATGAAAGACAATATGATATTATATAAGTGGATGGCAAAGTTTGTAGGAGAAACCATAAACACTTCAACGTCTAGCTGTTCTTCGGGTTTTAAAGAACCTCTCTCTGATTGAGATTAACTCCTTGGCTGCTTCACTCGTTGCCAACCGGTTCATCGGAGATTCTTCACAACACCTAAGTCCCACATCCAAAATCACTTTCAAACACTCCACTACAGGGAAACCAACTCTGAGACCATTATGAAGAATCGATTTGTCTGCAATGTCCAAAACTCTTTCCGGCAAGGCTGATTTGGTGTAGCTGTATAGGGTAAAGTTCCCCTCAAATAGCTCATTGGTTGGTCGTTTTCCTGTGAACATTTCCAAAACAAGAACCCCAAAGCTGTATACATCACCGTGTATTGATGGTTGGCCTCCCATTCCATATTCTATACCATATTTCACACACAAAAAAAACAAAAACAAAAACAATATTGTAATGAGAACAGAATACATAAATATTCTTTATTTTAACATTCCAGATGTGTAATAGTTTTACCTGGTGCAGCATACCCAATGGTTCCTCTAACACCAGCTGAGCTTAGTTGGTTGAAAAAGGACTCCTGATCAAATTTGAGAAGAAGACGAGCCAGACCAAAGTCGCTAACATGGGCAGTTAGATCATCGTCGAGAAGTACGTTGCTTGGCTTAAGATCGCAATGAGCTATAGGCTCATGACAATGAACATGAAGATAGTCCAAAACAGAAGCCACGTCTATAGCAATGTTGAGCCTTTCAAGAAGAGTCAAGGTTCTTGAGGGCCTATGAATCTCTTCGATTTCCTCTGGGTGCAGCCACATATCCAAGCTTCCATTCGGCATGAACTCATATATGAGAGCTCTGAATTCGTTACCTTGGAAATCAATACTAGCGCAAGCTGTCAATAGTTTCACAAGATTACGATGCCTTATATCCTTCAAGGATTCACATTCTGCCATAAAGCTCTTCATCGCTCCACGTCTCTGCATGTTTAGAACTTTCACTGCAACAATCTTGTTTTCTGTCGGGAGCAATGCCTTAAACACAGTACCAAAACTGCCTGACCCAATCAAATTGCTTGAAGAGAAGCCATCTGTCGCATTTCGAAGATCTCCGTAACTTATCTTTCCATGGAAGGCCCCCAAAGTGGAAGAAGTTAGATTATTAGTCTGATGGTTCTTCTTTCTTTTTCTTAACCACAGAGAAACTGAAGCTATGACCGAAAACAAAAGCAAAGCTATGCCTACGCTAACCCCGATCACAATTTCTTTAAATGAGAGGAATGCCTTGTCTCCATTGGTGGTGCTTGCGCAAAGCATGGTTTTAGTTTCAGTTCCTTGATGCCTCCACATAGGTTTCTGTTTCCAAATACTGAAACTATAGTAGAATTTTGAAATATTCCTTCTGTTGGTACGCATCCCTCGAAATTGTTATCAGATAGACTTAGACGCTGCAACTTTGAAAAATTTGCAAAATATCCAGGTATACTTCCAAAAAGATTATTGTTTGACAAATTAACTCTTTGAACAGCCACCAACCCACTTATGTCTGGAATGGTTCCATCAAAATAATTTCCTTGCAGATAGAGTTCTTCCAATGAGAAACAGGTTCCCAAATCCAAAGGAAGTTTCCCGGATAATTTGTTATGCGCGACGTTAAGTGTAACAAGATTTTGTAGTCTTCCAACATCTTTTGGTAGAGACCCGCTCAATGAATTACCAGCCATGCTTAAGTTAACAAGGGATGAAATTTGCATAATTTCTCGAGGTATAGTCCCATTCAACTTATTATACTCTATCCACAAATGTAGCAAGATCCTGCAGTTACCAAGACTTGGAGGAACGACTCCATCAAAATTGTTGTAAGACAAATCGAGTTCTGTTAACCGACTAAAGTTGCCTATAAAAGATGGTATCTCTCCTGACATCCTATTTGAGTAGAGACTTAATAACCCCAAATCTGAAAGCTTACCAAGAGAGGTTGGGAGTGGTCCAGTCAACATATTACCTCCCAAGCCAAGCATTTGTAGGCTTATGAGATTACCAATGTCATGAGGAATTCTTCCAGAGAAGAAATTTGCTGAAAGGCCTAAATAAATGAGTGTGGCGGATAGATTGGCAATGATAGGCAAGTCACCCCCAAGCCTATTCCGACTAATCAGTAAGAACACTAGTTTGGTGCAGTTACTCAAAGAACTAAGGAATTCAAGATCTCCATGAGAGTAAGTTCCCAAAGAATTGGTATCAAGTAATAACCATTGCAAATTTGGTACTTTTCCAAAGGTAGGAATACTTCCTGTCAAACTGTTGTGATTCATTCCCAATTTTTGAAGAGTTGAGATATTGGAAATTGTTGCTGGGATAGATCCTGTGAGATAATTAACTGCCATATTTAACTCTCGAAGATTTGGTAGCAGAATACCAAAATCATGTCTCAGGCGACCCGAGAAATGATTATCAGCGATATATAAGTCCTCAAGTGAGGACAAATTGAAGATAGATGGAGGAAAAACGCCTGAGAATTTGTTCATTGATAATTCCAGAAGCGCCATTTGAGTCAATCTAGCTATATCATCAGGAATTCTTCCTTCTATATTATTTTCGTCAAAGCTCATTTCTCTAAGTGATGTCAAGTTTCCTAGAGATGCAGGAAGCTTCCCTTGCAGGTTATTAGTACCAAGATTTAACCTAACAAGCTTCGTCAACGACCCTATTTCGGAAGGAACACAATGTCCAAGGTGATTTGAAATTAAATCAAGCTCCAACAATCTAGAGAAATTAGAAAAACTGGCTGGAATCCCACCTCCGAGAAAATTATAGCTCATGTTCAAATGTTGAAGTCTAAACAAGTTTCCCATCTCTTGAGGAATAGTACCACCAAAAGAGTTATCATAGAGATTAAGTGATATGAGAAACGAAAGATTACCAATAGATGGTGATATCACTCCGCCCAATTGCAACCCTCCGAGGTCCAAACGAGTAACTCTCTTGTGTTTGCGGCCACATCTAACCCCCTTCCAGCTGCAGAGAGGGAATGAATTATTCCACGAGGACAAGGCATCTCTTTTGCCTTCAGAAACTTGAGACTTGAACTCCAACAACGCTTGCCTATCACTTTCATCGGTAAAACCATGTGATTCAAGTAGCATGAGAGCATTGAAAGCAAGTGAAAGAAACAGTCGGTAAAATCTTGTGGTGCTTCTCATATTTTGCAGGAAAGTGAAATTTTTTGAGACGAAGCAATTGCCAAATGTCTTTTAACTTGTGGTGATAATGCAACTTGAAGCAAAAGACAGTAAGTACCACAGAGAAAACTGCAAAACGTTTCCTATATGTAATAAGTCAATTAGTCAACTGCCTAAAATAGACAAAACAAAACACTTCACTAATATTCATTACTTTTCTGTAGACATCATGATGATGGGTCTGAGCATTGAAGCAAATACAAGACTCTTGCCTTCTAGATCATTGAGATAGATTCTTGCCATCTAAGTCAAGTAGATTTTTTCAGAAGTTTAACTTATCTGAATTAAAAAAAACATTTTCACGTGTCTTCATGACTTTTCTATAGACATGGATGGGTCTAAAGCATTGACAACAAGTAAAAGACACAGTTTATGCTTTTTTTTTTGTCTTTTTTTTTTTTTTTTGTGTCTCGGTATCTTTTGGTGCTTCTCATAATGCTTCTCATAATGAAGGAAATGCAAAAAATATTTTACCTAGTGGTGATAATAAATTGGCTCACAACCCTATAGAATGCGAGACATTGAGATGGACTCTTGCCTTCTAGATTCTTGCCATCTAAGTCGAGTAGTTCTATCTAAAAAATTGGAAAAACAATTTCATTAGTCTTTACGACTTTTCTTTAGTCTACACAATAGACTCAAAGATATCAATGTAGAAATTGACCAATTGATTAAGAATTATAGCATCTCATGACCTTGGTTCATGTTCCTTGCATCTGAAGAATTCTATGAAGCTTCTCTCTTGAGCATCACTTGCCATGATCCCGTCTGGAACTACTATTCTCTTCATGACCAGTTTTTAATGCTATCTGGTCATCATAAAAATAATCGATTGCAAGTGGCATTGCTCATATCATGACTTGATTAAAATACACAAATAATCAAATTCTCCATCAAAGTGTTTTTTTTTTCCTCCATTCAAACATCCTCAAATGTTACAAGTTACTTAATTAATATTAACCGTATAATTGATTGATTACAGTACTCACTAAACACATTTACCATTTCAACATGGAAATTTCTAATTCACTTTCTTGCAAGAGGAGCTCCATAAACTTTTAACCAAAAAAGAGAGGTAAATGTTACAGAATTATAAGGATCACTCATATAAAGCCTATTCCATTGTAAACACTTAAGCGTAGTCTCTATTGTCCAGATGTAGATATATGTCTAAGCAAATGGATCATCTTACCAAATACAGAGATAGTCTACATGAAAATTTATGGCCTAATCCATACCATACAATTACATAAATGGATTTTTTAAATTTATTTCTGATAATAGCATGAGAAAACCATAAAATTATCTCATATTGTAAGACAACATTATACTTGGGGCCTTGACAAAACTAAATGGGTTTATATCTTATCTATTCGGAGCTATCGACCCAAGTCTTGTTAGGCAAGAGGATTTACAGAGTATCTGTATTGGCATTACATGTCTTCCCAGCCAAGAAACTGCAAATTGTAAGTCTTGTATCCAAAACCAAGATAGAAAAATCCAAACAGCAGGAAACAAGAAAAATCAAAACAGTAACAAAAAGACGAGGAAGAGATCAAAGGACAGGCCGTAATTGCTTCCCAGTGGGTTTAGGTTTAACGAGGAGTCCAGTGATGGGTTTTAGATTTGCAGCAACGGGGAGGGTTCAGGGTTTAAGACAATGATGTCTTCTTTACTCGAGTCACTGAGCTCGAGTTGACGTCTTGTGTAATATATATGATTTAACAAAGTAGAAATATGTGCTCAACAGCAATAGATAAACCACAGCTACTTCATTTTTGCCAAATGTATTCTTATCCCAAGAAAATTTAAAGCAGAAAACACAAACATTCAATCTTGTCTGAAAACAACAGAGCATAAACAGAGGGGAAAAACAAACCACAGTGTATGAAAGACAATATGATATTATATAAGTGGATGGCAAAGTTTGTAGGAGAAACCATAAACACTTCAACGTCTAGCTGTTCTTCGGGTTTTAAAGAACCTCTCTCTGATTGAGATTAACTCCTTGGCTGCTTCACTCGTTGCCAACCGGTTCATCGGAGATTCTTCACAACACCTAAGTCCCACATCCAAAATCACTTTCAAACACTCCACTACAGGGAAACCAACTCTGAGACCACTATGAAGAATCGATTTGTCTGCAATGTCCAAAACTCTTTCTGGCAAGGCTGATCTGGTGTAGCTGTGTAGGGTAAAGCTCCCCTCAAATAGCTCATTGGTTGGTCGTTTTCCTGTGAACATTTCCAAAACGAGAACCCCAAAGCTGTATACATCACCGTGTATTGATGGTTGTCCTCCCATTCCATATTCTGTACCATATTTCACACACAAAAAAAAAAAACAAAAACAATACTGTAATGAGAACAGAATACATAAATATTCTTTATTTTAACATTCCAGATGTGTAATAGTTTTACCTGGTGCGGCATACCCAATGGTTCCTCTAACACCAGCTGAGCTTAGTTGGTTGAAAAAGGACTCCTGATCAAATTTGAGGAGAAGACGAGCCAGACCAAAGTCGCTAACATGGGCAGTTAGATCATCGTCGAGAAGTACGTTGCTTGGCTTAAGATCACAATGAGCTATAGGCTCATGGCAATGAACATGAAGATAGTCCAAAACAGAAGCCACGTCTACGGCAATGTTGAGCCTTTCACGAAGTGTCAAGGTTCTTGAGGGCCTGCGAATCTCTTCGATTTCCTCTGGGTGCAGCCACATATCCAAGCTTCCATTCGGCATGAACTCGTATATGAGAGCTCTGAATTCATTTCCTTGGAAATCAATACTAGCACAAGCTGTCAATAGTTTCACAAGATTACGATGCCTTATATCCTTCAAGGATTCACATTCTGCCATAAAGCTCTTCATCGCTCCACGTCTCTCCATGTTTAGAACTTTCACTGCAACAATCTTGTTCTCCTCCGGGAGTAATGCCTTAAACACAGTACCAAAACTGCCTGACCCAACCATGTTGCTCGCAGAGAAGCCATCTGTCGCATTTCGTAGATCTCCATAACTTATCTTCTCATGGAATATCTCCAATGTAGAAGCAGCTGAATTATTGGTCTTCTGGTTCTTCTTTCTTTTTCTGAGCCAACGTAGAGAAACTATGAACAATAGCAAAAGCAAAGTTATGCCTACGATAACCCCGATCGCAACTTTCTTCAAAAGAGATGGATGCTTTGTCCCCATTGGTGGTGCTTGGGCAATACATGGCGTTAGTTTCAGTTCCTTGATGCCTCCACAAAGATTTTTGTTTCCATATACCAAAACTATAGTAGAATTCTGAAATTTTCCTTTTGTTGGTACGCTTCCCTCAAAATTGTTAATGGATAGATTGAGATATTCCAACTTGGAAAAAATTTCAAAATATCCAGGGATACTTCCAGAGAGATTATTGTTAGACATATCATCTCTTTTAACACCCACCAACCCTTTTATATTTGGAATGATTCCATCAAAAGAATTCCCTTGCAGATATATTTCTTCCATCGAAAGACAGTTTCCCAAAGTCTGTGAGAGCTCCCCTGATAATTTATTATCCGATACAGATAGTAGAACGAGATTCTGTAGTCGTCCAACATCGTTTGGAAGAGTGCCACTGATAGAATTACTTGGCATGCTGAGGGTAAGAAGGTGTGAAAGTTGCATAATTTCCTTAGGTATAGTCCCATTCAACTTATTATACCCAATCTCTAAATGTAGCAGTTCACTGCAGTTACTGAGACTTGGAGGAATGGTTCCTTCAAAAATGTTGTTGGACAAACGGAGTTTTTGTAACCGAGTGAGGTTTCCTATAGTAGATGGTATTACTCCTGACAATTTGTTTGAGCTGAGATCTAAAACCCCAAGTCCAAAGAGATTACCAAGAGAGGTTGGGAGTGGTCCAGATAACATATTTTCGCGCAACCCAAGCGTTTGGAGGCCTAAGAGGTTCCCAATATCCTGAGGAATTCTCCCAGAGATGTGATTATATTCAAGGAGTAAATCGGTGAGTTCCGCGGACAGATTGGTAATGGAAATAGGAAAGTCACCCCCAAGCCTATTCCCACCAAGCCCTAATTTCTCTAGTTGGGTGCAGTTAGTTAAAGAGCTGATGAAGTCAAGATCTCCAAAAGAGTAACTTCCCAACGAATTTCTACGTAGAAGTAACCATTGCAAATTTGGTACTTTTTCGAAAGTAGGAATACTTCCTGTCAGATTGTTGTCATTCAGTCCCACTTTTTGAAGAGTCGAGATATTGGAAAGTGTTGTTGGAATGGAACCGGTGAAAAAATTCCCTCCCATATTTAACTCTTGAAGATTTGGTAGCAGAATACCAAAACCAGGTCTAAGACGACCCGAGAAATGATTGAAAGCCATATATAAATTTTCAAGTGAGGACATATTGTAGATTGCGGGAGGAAAAACGCCTGAGAATTGGTTAAAAGATAATTCAAGAATCATCATTTGACTCAGCCTAGCTACATCATCTGGAATTTCTCCTTCCATATTGTTTCCTCCAAAGCTAGCTCGTATGAGTGATGTCAAGTTTCCTAGAGATGCAGGAAGCTTCCCTTGTAGGTTATTCTCACGAAAATTTAAACTAACTAGGTTCGCCAATGACCCTAGTTCTGAAGGAACACCTCGTCCAAGAGGATTTGAAAATAAATCAAGGTCCAACAATCTAGAGCAGTTAGACAAAGTAGTTGGAATCCCTCCTCCCAGATAATTAATGCCCATATACAAGTATTCAAGTCTAAATAAGTCTCCCACCTCTTGAGGAATGGTTCCACCAAAAGAGTTATTAGAGAGATCAAGATATATGAGGAATGAAAGATTACCAATAGATGGTGATATCACTCCGCCTAATTGCATTCCTCGGAGGTCCAAACTAGTAACTCTCTTGTGTTTGCGGCCACATTTAACCCCCTCCCAACTGCAGAGTGGGAATGAATGATTCCATGAGGATAAGAAAACTCTTTTGTCTTCAGAAACTTGAGACTTGAATTCGAGCAACGCTTGCGTATCAGTTTTATCGGTAAAACCATGTGCTTCAAGTAGCATGAGAGCATTGAAAGCAAGTAAAAGAAACAGCCTCATGCTTCCCATTTTTTTTTTTGTTGGTTAAAAGCTTGTGGTGCTTCTCATGTTTCGCAGGAAAGTGAATATATATAAGAGACGAATCAATTGCAAAATGCCTTTAAGGCTTCAACTTGTGGTGAAAATGCAACTCGAAGCAAAATAGGAATAATAAATTTGCTCACAACCAAAGAGAAAACTGCCAGATTTGTCCAAAATGGCATATATTCTTGCCGTCTTGACTCATATAATGCCGTGTAAGTCAAGTAGTCAACTGCCTAAAAAGACAAATTACATTTCACTAGTCTTCACAACTTTTCTTAGACGTCATGTGGTGTTAATGTGTTAATTTATTAGACAAAATTACATTTCATTTCACTAGACATCACAACTTTTCAAAAAATAAACCACTGCTACGTCATTTTCGACTGGGATATTTTCGTTTTTTTTGCCCTAGGAAAATGCTTATCAATTGTTAAAGCTGTTAACACAACATTCATCTTGTCTACAAATAATAATAACGGCATACTATGAAAGATCACTACATAAATTAGTAATTTATACACAATTCTTAAATGGAATTTATAGACCAGGTCAATAGGATTGACTTAATATGAAAACAAAGCGGTTTAACTCTTTAATTCGCTTAGGACAGGAGAAGCAAGCATAACACTATTCCATAGTAAGTACTATTAGGAGGGCCAGAATCACTTTAAAGACCATTGAGCAATGTATACCACTATCTTATCCTTTGGCAGTCATCTCTCTCAGTATCATGTGTTCTGGATCTGATCTATTTTTCTTTTTCTCTCCACACTTTTCTTTGAAATTACCACACCTAAAGAACCAGAGAGAGTAGTACTTCTTAGAACTTCATGTGCAAGAAACGCAAAACCATTAGATTTGCCACTTCCCTTGAATCGGAAAAGAATGACATCACTAACTTCTATAAGTCCACAAACTATAATATACAACAAAAAATCCACGACATGTTTAATTCTTTTTTACGAATTTCCCTTAGGTCTCTGTTTTGACCCCTGTTTTTGGTTTGCTCTGTTTTGTTTCCCTCTTTGTTGACTTTATTTGTTGACCCCAGTACTCGTTCTTATTGGTGGCAATGCTTCCTTTTTCTCTTCACAGTTCTTAACTTCTTATGCTAATGTGGAAACTTCGAGAAATTTGTAGGCGAAAATTGGGGATATCTCTTTCATTTTTGGTCAGATAGACAAAGTTAGAGAAGAGTTTTTGGAATGAATTAAGCAACAAGGATTCATCAATGTTAAAGATAATATTGTTATCGCGTCTTGGTTTTCCTTTTACAGTATTAGATCAGAACTCTGGCGTCTCTAGTCTCCATCAATGTGCTGGATTAAACACTTATATGCATGAAGCTTGCCTCAGGATTGAGAAAGAATGCAGGTGAGATTCACTGAGTTCTCTAACTCATATTGGATGACGTTGGGATATAAACAAAATGTGATTGGTGTAAGTCAAACAAATCAAACGAATGAAGTTTAAGCTGAGAAAAAGAAAACAGTAACACAACCATTCATTATTTTGTAACAACAATATTCATATTTTGTCTGCATATAACACAAGCATTCATTATTGCAAGCCTTCTGAGTAGTTTAATAGAGACAAACCACAGATTATACTAGACGATATTATATAGGCCTCAGATTAAGCCTTTTAAGTGGGTTGCAAAGTCTTCAACGTCTGGCTGTTCTTCTGGCTTTGAAGAACCTCTCTCGGATTGTGATTAACTCCTTTACAACTTCAGTCGTTGCCAGACGGTTCGTCGGAGATTCTTCACAACACCTAAGTCCCACCTCCAAAACCAATGTCAAGCACTCAGAAATAGGGAAACCGATTCTGAGACCGCTGTGAAGAATCGATACGTCTGCAATGTCCAACACTCCCTCTGTCAACGCCGACTTGGTGTAGCTGTGCAAGGTGAAATTTCCTCCAAATAATTCATTGTTTGGTCGTTTTCCAGTTAACATTTCCAAAAGAAGAACCCCGAAGCTATACACATCACCGTGTATTGATGGTTGTCCTCCCATTCCATATTCTGCACCATGATTCACACAAGACTACAAATTTGTAATAAAAAAAAGAATACAAAAAATTTCTTCATCCAAACATTGCATATGTGTAATAGTTTACCTGGTGCAGCATAGCCGATGGTTCCTCTAACACCAGCTGAGCTTAGTTGGTTATAGAAGGACTCCTGGTCGAATTTGAGGAGAAGACGAGCCAGACCAAAGTCGCTAACATGGGCGGTTAGATCATCGTCGAGAAGGACGTTGCTTGGCTTAATATCGCAATGAACTATTTGCTCATGACAATAAACATGAAGATAGTCCAAAGCAGAAGCCACGTCTATGGCAATGTTGAGCCTTTCAAGAAGTGTCAAGGTTCTTGAGGGCCTACGAATCTCTTCCACTTCCTCTGGGTGCAGCCACATATCCAAATTTCCATTCGGCATGAACTCATATATGAGAGCTCTGAATTCGTTACCTTGGAAATCAACACTAGCGCAAGCTGTCAATAGTTTCACAAGATTACGATGCCTTATATCCTTCAAGGATTCACATTCTGCCATAAAGCTCTTCATTGCTCCATGTCTCTGTAGATTTAGAACTTTAACTGCAACAGTTTTGCTCTCCGTCGGGAGCAATGCCTTAAACACAGTACCAAAACTGCCTAATCCAACCATATTGCTGGAAGAGAAGCCATCTGTCGCATTTCGTAGATCTCCATAACTTATCTTCTCATGGAAAATATCCAACGTGGAAAGAGCTGAATTATTAGTCTTCTGGTTCTTCTTTCTTTTTTTGAACCAACGTAGAGAAACTACGAACAATAGCAAAAGTAAAGCTATGCCTACGCTAACCCCGATCACAACCTTCCTCAAAAGAGATGGATGCTTTGTCCCCATTGGTGGTGTTTGCACAATGCATGGCTTTAGTTTCAGTTCCTTGATGCCTCCACAAAGATTCTTGTTTCTAAATACAAAAACTGTAGTAGAGTTCTGAAATTTTCCTTTTGTTGGCACCCTTCCCTCGAAATTGTTAATGGATAGATTGAGATATTCCAACTTTGAAAAGTTTTCAAAATATTCAGGTATACCTCCAGAGAGATTATTGTTTGATAAATCAACTCTTTTAACACCCATCAACCCTTTTATATCTGGAATGGCTCCATCAAAATAATTTCCTTGTAGATACATAACTTCCATCGAGAGACATTTTCCCAAAGTTTGTGGAAGTTGTCCTGATAAGTTATTATTCCCAAGTGATAGCTCAACAAGATTTTGTAATCTTCCAACATCGTTTGGTAGAGAGCCGCTCAAAGAATTGCCTTCCATGTTGAGGTGAACAAGGGTTGGGATTTGCATAATTTCCTTAGGTATTTTCCCATTTAACTTATTATACCCAATCTGTAAGTCGAGCATGTGACTACAATCACCAAGACTCGGAGGAACCATTCCTTCAAAACTATTGTTAGATAGATTTAGTTTTACTAACTGAGTGACGTTGCCTATAAAAGACGGTATCTCTCCAGAAATCCTATTTGAAAATAAAATTAATTCCCCGAGTCCTACGAGCTTTCCAAGAGAGGTTGGGAGTGGTCCTGTTAATAGATTGTCTGCCAACAAAAGTGATTGTAGGCCTATGAGATTTTCAATATCTTGAGGAATGCTTCCATAAATGAGGTTTCCTTTAAGGTTCAAAACGGTGAGTTCTGCGGACATATTGACAATGGATGTAGGCAAGGCACCCCCAAGCCTATTGTAACTCACAGATAACCCATGCAAATGGGAGCAATTAGTCAAAGCATCAAGAAATTCAAGATCTCCAAAAGAGTAACTTCCCAAAGAATTATTAGCAAGTTCTAGGTAATGCAAATTCTGTAATTTTCCAAAGTTGGGAGAAATACTTCCTGTCATCCTGTTTTTACCAATTCCAAACATTTCCAGAGTTGAAATATTGGTAAGTGTTGTTGGGATGGCTCCTGTTAGAAAATTTCCATGCAGAGATAACTCACGAATGTTTGGTAGCAGATTACCAAAATCAGGTTTCAGGTTACCCGAGAAACCATTACCAAGGAGGTATAAATTCTCAAGTGAGGACAAGTTGTAGAAAGCGGGAGGAAAAACGCCAGAGAATTTGTTCATTGTTAATGTAAGAGACACCATTTGACTCAGCCTAGCTATATCATCTGGAATTTCGCCTTCCAGATTATTATATCCCAAGTTGAGCACTATTAGAGATGTCAAGTTTCGTATAAATACGGGGAACTTTCCTTTGACGTCGTTTAGACCAAGATATAAATAGAGAAGCTTTGTCAATGACCCTAGTTCTGAAGGAACACCTTCTCCAAGATTGTTTGAAAATAAATCAAGGTACAACAATCTAGAGCAGTTGGACAAACTGGCTGGAATCCTTCCTCCCAGATAATTAAAGCCTATAGCCAAGTATTTAAGTCTAAACAAGTTTCCCATCTCTTGAGGGATGATTCCACCAAAAGAGTTATTAGAGAGCTCAAGATATATGAGAAACGAAAGATTACCAATAGATGGTGATATCACTCCTCCCAATTGCAATCCTCCGAGGTCCAAACGAGTAACTCTCTTGTGTTTGCGGCCACATCTAACCCCCTTCCAGCTGCAGAGAGGGAATGAGTTATTCCACGAGGACAAGGCATTTCTTTTGCCTTCAGAAACTTGAGACTTGAACTCCAACAACGCTTGCCTATCACTTTCACCGGTAAAACCATATGCTTCGAGTAGCATGAGAGCATTGAAAGCAAGTACAAGAAAGAGTCTCATCATGCTTTTCATTTTTTTTGTTGGTTAAAATCTTGTGGTGCTTCTCATATTTTGCAGGAAAGTAAATATATATGAGGCGAATCAATTGCAAATGCCTACTTGTGATAATGCAACTTGAAGCAAAATAGGAATAATCAACTGCTAGACTTTTCCAAAATCAAAATGTAAGTCAAGAAGTCAACTGCCAGACTTTTCCAAAATGTAAGTCAAGAAGTCAACTGCCTAAAAAGACAAAAGGACACATTTACCTTCATGATTTTGCTATCGGCATCATGTGGTGGCTGGATTATCGGTCCCATATGATGGGTCTGGAATCTGGAAAATTAGCTTAAAACACACAAGCATGGAACATTACGATCACACGGCAGTCATCTTTTGTCTGAAAGCACACAACCTATGTTGCATGGAAACTCCATCCGAGGTGCGTTTCCCGTTTCGGAAACGTTTCGGAATCGGAAACTCTTGGAAACGCGTGGAAACGTCATGGAAACACGTTTCCTTAAAAAGTCAATTTGGAAACGCGATGGAAACGTACGTTTCCATTTTGGAAACACATCGGAAACTTAATTTTTTCTTTTGAAACATAAACATTAATTATTTTAAAAATATAAGTATATATTTGATATTTTTCTTTAAAAACTTAATTAGTATGAAGAATATGTAACACTTATTTTATTATTTGTGATGATGATATATGGTCTTAATTTTTGATTTTGAGTGTTGTTATCATTATTTTAGTTAGACTATTTAATATTTTTATTAATGATTATGTTATTTAAAATATATATTTAATATTCTTTTGATGTTTAATATATATATATACGTTTCCAAAACGTTTCCATTTCGTAATTTTTTAAAAAATCCGTTTCCACGTTTCCACACGTTTCGCTTCCGCCTTTCCGTTTCCGTTTCCATGCAACCTAGCACACAACCTTACTTTATGATATTCAGCAATCATACATGTGACAAGCCCTTTCGTTGCTTGCAAGTTGCAAACTAATGACAAAGCAAGGGAAGACGAAAGCTCTTCAACCTTTGTTTTTCCATGGTCAGAACCAATAGCTTGAGGAGAAGGTGCTCGCAATTATTCTTCCATTGACAAAGCTAGGGAAGACGACAACACACGTTACACTAAATAATCAATTAATTTACACTCAATTAATCTAAGGTGGGTCAACACAGCCACTAACAACAAAGGTATAATTCATTCCAAGTCTCGAGTGTCACGACAAACATAGAATCACCGTTACAGAATGAAGAAGTTTATAAAACCCTGAGGTCTTTTGGAACCATGGCACTGGTACAATAATTTAAAACTACAAACCATTCACTAGAAAACTCGTACATTCATATAAATACAGACACATCTAGATAAGAGATATATATACTTGTGTACCTATATCTCTTTGCTTTAATAATCTCTCGTACTACAACTCGTTAGGTCTCCTCATCTCCGAAAAAAACTCTCTCTGATAGAGACCAGCTTGCTTACAGCCTCGGCCATTGATATCCGGTTCACCGGTGATTCTTCTGAACAACTAACTCCAACCTGAAACACAAGGGTCAAGCATTCGACCATATTGAAATGCTGAGCGTATGCACCACGGAGAATAGATTTGTCTGTGATATCTAGTGCTTGTCGTTTCGGCAATGCTGATTTAGTAAAACTATGGAGAGTTAAACCGTCCACGAATAACTTATTGGTGGGTCTTTTTCCAGTGAAAATCTCCAATAGGAGGATACCAAAGCTGTACACGTCGCCCATTATTGATGGATGACCTCCCATACCATATTCTACAAAGTTCAATAATAACAACAATAAGACTAAAGAATATTAGGACGTCTCTGCTTGAGATAGATACCTAATAATGGTTCTAAATTTTAATGTAAAATACGCATACCTGGTGCAGCATATCCAATGGTTCCACGAACACCTGCAGAGCTGAATTGAATATGGAATGTATCCCGATCAAATTTTAGTAGGAGTTGTGCCAAACCAAAGTCGCTTACATGAGCAGTCAAATCTTTGTCAAGTAGAATATTGCTTGGCTTAATATCACAGTGGGCTATAGGGTTGTGACAATAAGTATGAAGATAAACCAAAGCCGAAGCAACATCTATCGCAATGTTGAGTCTTTCAACAACGGTCAGGGTTCCTGAGGGATTGCCAGTTTCTTCTATTTCATCCGGGTGCAACCACATGTCCAAGTTTCCATTAGACATGAACTCATAAACTAGAGCTCTAAAATCATTTCCTTCAAAATCAGCACTTGAACAGACAGTAACCAACTTCACAAGGTTGCGATGCCTTATACCTCCTAATGCTTCACATTCTGCAATGAAACTCTTTGCAGCTCCACGTTTGCAGAGATTCAAAACTTTAATGGCAACAGCCTTGTTCTTAGACCCAAGAAATCCTTTAAACACAGCCCCAAAGTTACCCGACCCAATCAAATTGCTGGAAGAGAAGCCACCGGTTGTCTTGTAGAGCTCATCGTAACTTATCTTTTCATAAAACGATTTCACTGGGGAGAAAGACCGATCATTCTCATTATTGTTAGCTCTGACACTCTTCATTCTCTGTTTGTACCGGCATAGATAAACCACGCACAGACATAGAAGGAAAAGTGCTGCCATACCTGCACTGACACAAATGGTGATTATCTTTCTGACTGATGAATGTCTTCCTGGTAATTCTACAGAGCATGGCTCAAGCTGTAATGACGGGATGCCTCCACAGAGATTTATGTTACCAATGACCGATATCGCACTGGTATTACGAAATACCCCTTCCGTTGGCACAGCTCCTTCGAAGTTGTTCACAGAGAGATTCAGGTTCTGCAGTTTGGAAAAGTTCGCCATATATTCAGGTATTGTACCAGAGAGATTGTTCTTCGACAGATCTAGGAATCTGAGGCCAGTCAACCCTCTTATATCTGGAATGGGCCCAAAAAATGAATTCCCTTGCAGCAAAAGGAATTCTAGTGAGAGACAATTCGCCAAGGTCCGTGGAATCTGTCCTGATAGTTTATTGTATGAAACGTCTAGAGCTAATAGAAATTTAAGCTTTCCAACATCTTCTCTCAAAGGGCCAACCAACAAATTAAATGAAACATTTAAGACGACAAGAGATGGAAGTTCCATAAGCTCATGGGGTATGCTGCCATTCAACTTATTAGTACCGAGGTTCAAGTCTAGAAGGTAGCTGCAACTTCCAAGACTTGAAGGGATGCTTCCTTCAAAACTATTGTTAAGCAAATACAGGTATGTTAGCCCACTGATATTCCCCAAGGAAGATGGTATCTCTCCAGACAGTCCATTTGAATAGAGCAAGACTTTTCTCAGTTCAGAAAGTTCTCCCAATGAGGGAGGAAGTTTGCCTGTCAACAGATTTTCGCCCAAGTCTAATGTTTGCAGGCTTACGAGATTCCCTATGCCATGAGGAATACTTCCAGAGATGAGATTTCCACCAAGGGAGAGCTCAGTTAATTGGGTGGAGAGATTGGCTATAAAGACAGGTAACTGACCGCCAAGTTTGTTGAAGCCAAAACTCAAGTACTGCAACTGACTGCAGTTAGTCAGTGTACCAAGAAAATCAAGATCACCAGAAGAGTAGTTTCCCAGAGAGTTATTATTAAGGCCTAGCTGTAATAAATTCTGAAGTTTCCCAAAACTCAATGGTATCTTTCCAGTAAGATGGTTAGACGGAATATCAAGCTGTTGAAGAACTGAGATATTGGAAAGTGTCTCTGGAATGGTACCCGTGAAATTATTTATCCCCATATATAGTATTTGAAGGTTAGGGAGAAGAGAACCAAAGTCAGGCCTAAGGGTGCCAGAGAAACTGTTGCCGGTAATGGACAGGAAAATTAGTGAGGACAGGTTGTAAACTGGAGGAGGGAAAACACCATTAAACTTGTTTAATGCTATTCGGAAAAAGACCATCTGTTTCAGTCTGGCTAAACTCCCAGGGATCTCTCCTTCTATTTGGTTATATATAAAATCGAGCATTTGGAGTGATGTCAGGTTTCCCAATGAGGCAGGAAACTTCCCTGTTAGATTGTTTCTACCAAGAGATAGAATGACAAGCTTAGACAGCGAACCGAACTCAAAAGGCACGCCTTGTTCAAGATGATTTGATGATAAATCAAGTGTAGAAAGGCTAGAGCAGTTCGACAGAACAACCGGGATCACCCCTCCAAGAAAATTATTGCTCATGTTCAAATATTGAAGCCTGAACAAGTTTCCAACCTCTAAAGGGATGGCACCACGGAAAAAGTTGTCTGCAAGATTTAATGATCTAAGAAATGAGAGGTTACCGACAAAGGGAGAGACTACACCAGTTAGTTTCAGTCCTCCAAGATCCACACCAGTTACTCTTCTGTGTTTGAGGCCACACTTAACTCCGGTCCAGCTACAGAGAGGCAGGGAGTCATTCCACGAGCCCAACACAACTCTACTTGTTTCAGAAACTTGAGACTTGAACTCAAGCAATGCTTGTTTATCAGTCTCCTCCGTCAATCTGATTGTTTGTGCACAGACCATATCTGAATGTTCAAGTGACACAGAGACAAGTAAAGCAGATACAAGAATCAGCCTCATAACAATACAAGGAAACCCCATGGGGTGTAAAAGCTTCTTTTTTTTTTTCCTAAACTAAACGGAGACAAAAAAAATTCTTTCACAACCAGGATGACTGTTTGTTGAGATTATGAGCAAATAAAAATCTTGAGGATTTGGTTTCCTATGCAATAATGAGGAATATATAGCATACAAGCCTTTTAGAAACTGGCAAACAAAGTAAGGATATTCCAAAACCACAGGACTTGCAGCCTGCGGTATGCAGATTATTCTCAATCCTCGTTGACTTTGAGGGTCAAAGTCCAATAGAGCAATGACTTATTCTCATGTTGCCTCAGATAATTTATTCACTGCTTCATTTCGCCCAAGTCAACTGTCAGACGCTTGTCAACAAATATATACTTTAGTTTTACCAAGGAAAACTTGATTAATTAACACTAATAACAACGACCATTCTTATAAAAATGTAGCTGAGGCATGTTTGTCAAGTTCTTAGCAGAGACCATGACATCAATGATTTCGATATACACCAACTAGCTTTTACATCGTTTTCAGCAAAAACAAATAAAATAATAGCGCGTTTAATTCAAAAATATATTAATCATATCTAGCAGAAGAAAATTCAATTCTCACTATATAATACAGTAATTTATACGCAATTCTTTGTTCAGTTTTTTATAGACAAAGTCAATAGGAATTGAAATGAAAATATTTGCAGTTTACCTCTTAATTTGCATATGACAGGAACAGCAAGCGCTGCACTAATCCATCCATATTAACCCGTACAAGGAGAGCCATAATCACTCATCCCAGTAGACACCTAAGTCTGTAAGCACAGGTTAACACAGCCACTAACAACAAAGGTATACATGAGATAGCAAAAATCAACAAAGGTAAATAAACCAAAAAGGATATGACGACTTCTTTCATTCCACACAGTAAAATCAACATGTCTCCGGTATCACGAAAAACATAGAATCGCAGTTACAGAATGAAGCAGTTTATAATAACCCCAAGGTAACTATCTTGAAAAGACAACAAAGCTCATTTCCACAGACACTAGCTAAAACTGAAAACCATTGAGTATGCATACCACTATCTACCCTTTTAACGACGGCGATCTTCCCTTCTTGAAGAATCCCTATATTGCCTTGTGGACGTTTCTGATTGCCTACTTGAACCTTTTCCCTCCCTGTCGTTATGATCTCTTCTAGATTCTGCCTTCAATTTCTCCCAATCACGTGTTCTGGATCCCTTGTCCTCCCTTATATAATTATAATCATTTCCAGCATTGTGACTTCTAGATCGCGAATCATCATACGGTCCTGATCTCTTTTGTTCCCTCATATCATAAGCATCTCTTGACCTTGGCCCCATATCCTCTCTTTCCACTCTTTCTCTTTCTTTAGGGCGGCCATACCAGGCATCTCCATCACCCTTTCCTCTGTAACTTTTCTCTTCCGCATCAGATTTGAAATCTCCTCGATGGCCAAAACTTGTACCACCCTTTTTAGCACCATTAAACTTGTCATGATCCCACCTGGAACTTCTATCCTCTTCATGACCCCAACCAGTATTTGCAGCTCTCTGTCCATTAAAAAAAGGGTTTACTTCTATCAAGCATTTATCAAAATCATATGTTGAAATAATAAGAACAATATCATCCAAATAATTAGCTCATATACGAGAGTTATCCCGCACTTACTTACTTTTTCATCGTGGGAAAATTTGCAAGAATCACCACGAGTACATTCTCCTCTCTGAAACGCTCTGCAAACACCACGAGCCTCTCTATTCTGCCGTCGCGTCTCTTCATCCTCTTCTTCATGCTTTTTGTATTCCCTACAATGGTCCACCTTAATAGTCCGCCCCAACACAAGAGCTCCATTCAGATTATCTACAATCACCAACAAAAAAACACAATTACAAATTCCAAAACCTAAAGAAGTAAAAATCCACATGAAAACAATGTACAAGAGTTTCACTAACCAACAGCAAGAACGGTACTTCTCTGATCTTCATAAGCAAGAAATGCAAAACCTTTAGACTTCCCAGTTCCCTTGTCTCGAATAAGATTGACATCAACAATTTCACCATATCTACAATTCCACAAAACAAAAAAGCATGAAAAACAAAAAACCCATTAAGAAAAATTGAAACTTTAGAAACGAAACAACACTTACTGTGAGAAGACAGCGAGGAGATCACCTTCGGTGAGATCGAACGGTATGCATCCGACGTAGACATAGGCAGAGTTTTTGTACTTAGCGTGCCATGAAGCTTCTTCAGAAATCCCTAAATCTGATTCCCTAGCGTTTATCTTCTGTAAATTCTTCACCTGCGTCAATGGATTCATCCTTTCAAATTTCTCTTCGTTCGTTGCCGAATAGTTGACGGAACCCTAAAACTAGAAAACGAGATCGAGAGATTAGCCTGAGCGGGTCGGGTTTTTAATGACCCGGATTGAGGCCCATTTATTTTATCTGGGCCGAGCAGATCTTGTTGCGTCATGATGATGATGTATTAGTTTTAAAACATTTTTAAAAATTCTTAAACTTCTTTTGTGTTTGTAATTTTGTATTGACAACTCTAAAATTTTGTTGATTTTGTGGTATGTTGTTTTTGTACTTAAATTTGGTTCAGTCATCTTCCTATATATTTTCCTCTTTTCATTTGAATCTTTAATTTGTCTATGTTTTTTTTTTTTTGAAAATTAAGCCAAATTATATTACGTATATTTTTCTATATAGATTTAATGTATAATATCATTTTTACATCTTTTAATTAGGTTTTGCAAGGCTAGTTAAAGGGTTTATTATTTTTAGGGTTTTGTACAGAAACAAAGCTTTCGTACTTGAATATTTGCTTCTAGGCGTTTAAACAAGACAATGAAGTTGTGTATTCGGCTACTGTGCATCAACCAGAAGAAAATTTTGGCTAAGAAAGGGAACCGAAGATGGTTAATGTCAAGAAAGACAAAGTTACGTCTAAATCCTACACGGATCTACATTCCTCTTGATCTCCAAATTAATACACTCTTAAGATTGCCTGTGAAGTCTTTATTGAGATTTCGATGCGTCTCCAAGCTTTGGTCCTCTATCATCACCACTTCACCAGCCAATATTTCAAAAAACAGCACTTGAACATTACATCTTCCTCAGCTCCTCCACGTCTCCTCATTTCTTTTCAGGACTTTCACGGTAAAAATCTTATGTTAGTCTCGTCGCCTAACCCATACGTATCTTCCTCTTCCTCTTCTTCATGTTGTGTACCCTATAAAGATCTGAACGTCTTTAAAATAAATGGGAAACTAGTGTATAATGCGGTTCGGGGCTTGATCTGCTTAAGTAGATTAAGTGTGGGGATTTGTAACCCTAGCACAAGGCAGCTGCATATTTTTCCCCAACTCAAGTACAAAGAAGATCCAAAAAATTCTCAACGCCCCAATTATTTTGTTGGGTACGATTCTATTGAAGATCAATACAAAGTGCTAGCAATTGATCGTTTGCATTGGAGAATGGAGCATAAGATTCTGTTATTGGGAAGAGAAGAAGCTTGGAGAGAGGCTCCATGTGTTGCATGTCCTCATGTTTCTCATACCTCGGGGATGTATATGAACGGAACCCTGTACTACGGGGCGTCTCGGACGGATATCGATCCCCCGAATAACAATTCTATAATTGTTAGTTTCGATGTTAGGCTTGAAACGTTCAACATCATCAATGTACCAAGCAAAGTTCTACCAATGGGTTATGAGAATATGTGGCTTGCTGAACGGTGGAGGAATCTTACAGATAAAACTCTGATCAACTACAAAGGAAAAATTGGTGTGGTCGAGAATGCACGTGAGGGTAGTTTTCGAATGTGGGTTGTGGAAGATGCTGAGAAAGAGGAATGGTCCATGAACACTTTTCATTTGCCTGAATCTGCTGTTGGCCTTGACTTCAAGGTCGATCATGAATGCCTTTTATACAGGCGAGATTTGTCTGGTTCGAAAAGAATTAACTGACCCCTTTTGTCTTTTCTACTAGAATTTGGATAGGAAAAGCATGAGAAGTGTCAAAACTGAAGGACTGCCTATATCCAAGCTTAAGCGAGTCCGTGACCTTTATGTGACTGTTTCTGATCATTATGAGAGCTTCATGTTCTTAGAAACCTGAAGTTAATTAAGGTTTTTCTTTCTATATATATGCTTGTCTTTTTATTTTTTTGGGTAATTAGTGTGTGATCCGGGTTTTAAAACTCCACTAGTTCTCCCAGGGTGACTGTAACCGTCGAGTAGTCCACTTACAGATTTTTTTAATGGGTAGCATGACATTTTTTTTTTTTGATAAACCCTATCGGCTATCCGGTCGGCCCCGGTAGGAACGCACCGAGGTGCTACATAGTGGACTGGTCCACCGTGTTAACGGCTAGGTCCTTCGGGCTACCACTCTGCCTATCCCGAGTTTGGAATGCCTTCCGACTAAGTGCCAGGAGGTAGTCAGGCCGCCTGCATTTCTGACTACCAGGTAAACCAATTGGGCCAAAGCCCAACTGACAGACTACCCACAATAATGTTGATAACAGCAGGTGGAGTCGAAGCCAGGGTGGAGGGAATTTCACCCAAACAACCAGAGCCCACCAACCACTCGCCCACCACCATGTGGGTTAGCATGACATTCTTTTGATTGGCTAATTGGGAGTGATTTAAATATTTCTGCGTTTGAAGGGAATTGCCAGAAATTAAACAATGTATATGCTTGTTTATTTATAGAACTTAAATTTTGTTTTGAGAAGCACGATTAATATTTAAAGATTCCAACTTAAAATCATATTCGGCCTGATCCTTTAGACTTTTCAAAATATGACAGAAGTAAAATTGAAGGAAGCTTCAAAATGGTATATATGGACGATCATGCGATTAATAGTTGCAATGGTTTCTTCTTTTGTGTTTAACAATGTTAAAGAAGAGATGACAATGAGTGGAATCAAGCGATTATTTTGGTAACTTGTCCACAAACATTATATTATATAGGAGAAATTAAAGAAAAAGAAACGAGAGAGAAAGAGAAAGAGTTTTTTTTATTTTGTTGTTTGATATTTTAGTTTGGTTTTTACTTTGTTCACTACAAGAATTGTCGAATCTGGCTACGGCCTGGCTTAGGAAAATCCGTTGCCAGCAAAATTAGCTACGGATATGGCAACGGATGGCGACAGGCCAAAACACGGGAATTTCGTAGCCATATATGTGGCTATTTCATTGCAAATTTGTAGCTACATAACTATGACGGAATCTGTTGCTGTTCTGTAGCCAAATAGCTACGCTTTAGATAGGGTCTGTCCGTCGCGAAAATTTTCCACATGTAGCTAAGACTAGCGACGACAACTTTGTTGCTAGCTGGCGACGATAGCGATAGCGATGATATTTCTCTCGCTAATGAAAATAAATTCTGCGTGCGAAATTTTTGAGAGATATTTCAGTGACAAACTTTTGATTCCAATTATTTTATTTCCTTCTTCGTTCTTATATCTCTACTTCTCTTCCATTAGATACCCAAACCCTAAATCTTCTATACCCATCTCCGTCGCACAATTTATCTCTCGCTCGCTCTCGTTCTCTTCGTCTCATTTCTCAAACTCTCCTTGGATTTGCTCCGTTCCCTGGTCTCGAGCCGCCTCTGCTTCAAGTTCGTTTCTTCAAGCAGATCTCTCGTTTGCATCACACTCTTTTGTTTTGAGAATTTGATGGTCATTAGACTGAAATCGTTGTTGTATGTAGATTCGATTTAGGATTTGTGGTTGTTTGAGTATGGTCGGTTCTTATAGCTTCGTCTCTGTCAATTTTGAGTTCTGTCTCTGTTGATTTTGTCCTTATAGCTTCATTTCTTAAAGTTTGTGGTCATTTGAGCTTGGTCGGTGTTAATTTTGTTCTTATAGTTTCATCTCTAACAATTTTGAGTTTAGTCTCTGTTAATTTTGTTCTTATAGCTTCATCTCTTATAGGATTTGTGGTTATTTGAGTTTGATATGTGTTAATTTATTAGCTACGTCTCTTTTGATTTTGTTTTGTTCTTATAGTTATGGTTTGGTCCTCTTTATATATGTCTAATGTTTGTTCTGTTTCTTTAAAGATATGATGACAACACGTAGTGGTGGATTTCCTACAAGAGGTTTGGATAGACGAGGCTAGTTTCTTTGAGGCTGGTGCATCATAGGTTCCATAATGTCCACTCCCCTCCAAAGAAACTCTAGTTGATCAACGAGCTACTAAACGCGCCGGCACTATAAAACCAACCGTGTCTCCATCCCCACAAGAAAGGCCGTGCACTTTGGTAAGATCTCATTTATTGTAAAGTCATTGTTTTTGAACAATCGTTTGATCTAATACTCTAGTTTACTAACTTTATTTTCTTTGTTTATCTTTATAGGTTCTCTGTAGACAATGTGGTAAAATATGATATTAAGTAGACTTTTACTAATGATTTTGAGGGTCCATGGTGGAATCTTGGTGTGGTTCCGCAAGAGCAACAAGACAAGTGGTGGTCTGATTTTGTGGTGAGATTTAACATCAGCAAGGGGAAGAGAAACAATGTAAACCAAGTTTGTTTCGCATATCTGTTGGAAAATGATGTGGGAGCATTGGGATACAGAGAGTACAATTCTTGTTAGCAAGACTAACTCAAAGAACAGCAAATCTGAGCGAGATGGAGATCGAATGCATCAAGACATTTCTTGCTCAAAACCATTTGCTAGGAATTAATACGAATTGGTAAGGTAAATATCTCTACTTCTCTCATTTGCTTTTTGAATACCTCTAACTAATGATATTTACTAACTATTGAGTCAGGTGAGGAGCCGGCGATCATAGATTTGCTGCGGAAGACTCGCATGAGAAAGGATGGAACTTACATGGACAAACGTGCAAAGAAGATTGTCGAGAAGTTGAGACAAGGGTCCTTTCCCAGCTTTCTTCCAACAACACTGAGGATGGCTGCCACCAAGAGTCTAACTCACAAGCACCAACTATCCTTATGAAAGATCAAGCTTTTTATTCGGTAAAGAATTCTTTATTAGTCAGTTTTGCTCATTATGTATACTTGTATAATGCATATATTGCATGCTTATTATCTTGAATATTTGTTTTGTAGATAGTACAAATGTAATACTCAACTTCTTAATTAATTAAATTATGTTAAAACCAAATAATTCATTATATTAGATATAAGTAAAGATCTGTAGCAAAATCAAATTTATATCTGAAGCCAACGCAGCCACTAAATATTTGTTGCTAATCGCAGCAAAAGTTAGCTACAAACGGTTCATTGTTAATTCTTTGGCTAAATTAGCCACGCCTTTGCTGTTAAAGCTGTCGCTAACATCCGTCGCCAACACGCAACGAAAGCTCTGTCGCCAAAAACGTTGCTATGTTAACCACTGATATTCCGTAGCTGATCTCGTCGCTAGTAGCTACGGAATCCCGCAAGCTAACCCGTAGCCAATTAGCAACGGATAGATACGGATGTTGATTAGCGTCGACGCCCACGCAACGATATTTATCTGTCGCCATCCTTTGCCAAATTGATTCTAGCTACGGATTAAATTTTTTGGCTACGGAAATTTCCTTAGCTAGTATCCAGTTTTCTTGTAGTGGTTATATAATGGCTTTATTGCACCATAGAAAAGAATTTGCACAATATGGCATGTTTGCTAAGTTTGGGTACTTACAGTAAAGTTAGGTTTTCCTAGGCTAGTTAAGGGGTTAGGGTTTTGTTGAGAAACAAAGCAATAAGGAGAAGACAATGAAGTTTGGTCCGAATACGACACCGATTTACATTCCTCTCGACCTCCAGATCAACATACTCTTAAGATTGCATGTGAAGTCTTTATTGAGATTTCAATGTGTCTCCAAGCTTTGGTATTCTATTATCACCAGCCACGATTTTGGAAACCGTCACTTTGATATTACATCTTCCTCAGCTGCTCCTCGTCTTCTCATTGCTTTTCAGGACTTTGACAGAAACGAGCTTATGCTAGTCTCGTCACCTAACCCAAACACATCTTCCTCTTCCCCTTCTTCATGTTGTGTACCTTACAAAGATCTGAGGCTACTCAACATTAATGGACGAAAGGTGTATAACGCAGTTCGGGGATTGATTTGCTTTGAAAGTAGATTAAAGGTTGGGATTTGTAACCCCAGCACGAGGGAGCTGCATATTTTTCCCCGAGTCAAACTGAAAAGAGATCCAGACACTTTTCCATGCATCATGTACTTTCTTGGGTACGATCCTATTGGAGATAAATATAAAGTGCTGGCCATTGATAATTTGCCTTGGAGATTGGAGTACAAGATTGTGGTATTGGGAGAAGAAGAAGCTTGGAGAGAGGCTCCATGTGTTGCATGCCCTCATCTTGCTAATACCTTGGGGGTTCATATGAATGGAAGCTTGTATTACGGGGCCTCGAGGAAGGACAAGGGTTCCCCCAATAATTCTATAATTGTGAGTTTCGATGTTAGGTCTGAAACGTACAAAATCTCCAATGTACCAAGCAAACTTCTACAAATCGACGATTCTGATAATTTTTGGACTGCTAATTGCAATTGGTTTATTGGGGATAAAACTCTGATCAACTACAGCGGTAAGATTGGTGTGGTTGAGAAACCTCGACATGGTATATTTCGAATGTGGGTTGTAGAAGATGCTGAGAAAGAGGAATGGTCTATGAACACTTTTTATTTGCCACAATCTGCTGCTGGCCTTGACTTCAAAGTCATGGATACCTTTTATACCGGCGAGATTTGTCTGGTTACAGAAAAAATATCTGATCCGTTTTGTCTCTTCTATTACAATTTGAAGACGAATAGCATGAGAAGTGTCGCAATTAAAGGACTACCTATTTCCGAGTTTAAGCAAGGGTTGCAATTCCACAGCCTTTCTGTGACTGTTTCAGATCATTATGAGAGCTTGGTGTCCTTAGAAACTTGAATCGAGTTTTAGGGTTTTTCTTTATATTTATTTTGGGAAGCACCATGATTCAAAGATTTCAGCTTAAAATCATGGTTTTGACTTTTGAATATATTCAAGGTAGTTACAAGATGTGGCATGGATGGTCGATTTGTGGGGGAAGTCCATTTCAGCTTAAAATCATGGTTTGAGTAAAGATTTTGTATCCTATATTTCTATGTACTTTAAGAGAATTTTTAGCTGAAACAAGAACATAGTGTAGATTTGTGAGTAAAAGCCACTTCTTGAAGAAGAGGTTTGATCAAAAAAAAAAAAAAAAGCCACTTCTTGAAGAAGAGGTTTTAAATTCAGACATGAATGTACAATAGATATAAGAGTTTTTGGGAACCAAAAGCCAAATGCAGATAAAAAGAAAAGCAAGTAGAAATGGACTTCCCCCAGAAATGTTTACACTATATTACTTACTACTACTCTAAAACATTATATACATACATTCAGATAAAAGTTTACCAGACCCGGTTTCGGCTTTTGCCAAAGCTCTTCTTCTTCTTATTTACTTGACATGGCAATCGTAAGGAGAAGACGCAAACACTTGATCTGGAACCACTAGAGGTAGTTTCTCTATGTACAGAAACAACCTCTTCTTATTCTCCCGCTCAATTGTATACATATTGACCGTATCTGATTTCTCCATTAACATCCATAAGTCTCCTGAGTTTACTCTTTTAAGACTGTCTCGGCAAAAAGGGCATGATTCTGACCTCCCATGCCTGCAAGAAAACATTGATTATAATCAAATCATCGATTATGCAAAAAAAAAGAATGCAGAAGGAGATACCTATTAAAGAATAGACTTACCAATCACGGTAACACTTGATGCATAACGAATGTGTACAATTGGGTAGAACCACCATGTTGTTCATCTCCATACAAATCCCGCATTCTTCTTCTCTCTCGATGTCAATCTCCGAGAGTTTGACCTTTTCAGTCTCATCTTTTATTTCTGTACCGTATTTTGCAGCCCTCTTTCTGTTTGCGGTCATCCAGGTCTGTGATACCCCTTTCTAGTTGTAAAAGCGACGGAAATATCACAGCTGTTTCACAACACGGTAAAACCGATAAGCATTAAGGCTAACAATCAACTTGTTACCAAAACACTTGAATCTGCACATTACCATAGAAATCTTTAATACTGGTTTTTCTCTCATAAACCGACATTGTGGTTTTCCCATCCGCATATGTCTGATCAGTTGAACGAATCAATCAAACAATCACAAGAAAAAGTTTTGGAAGATGCAGTCAAAGAAAAGGGAGCGAGAAGTTGTAAAGAATGTACCATGTAAATAAGAACTCTGAGCAAACCGAGGGTACCGGCAAGATGGCAATCAGTCCATTGTACAAGAAAAAGTAAAAACTGAGCAGCCGGATTGTAAGATAGCCTCATTTGAACACGCGCTCCATCCTTCTCCCGAGGATAATCTAAAGCTCTGTTTATTCACAGAGAAAAACAAGTGACATTGTTCATAAGCACCATAACAACATAACTTGATGAACAACACAAACATAACAAAAATCTCCATTCAATGTATTGATCGGATCACAGATATTATAAACAACAGAAGCAATTGATCAATGCACTCATTCATCCAAACATTCACCATTAAGACATGGAACTGTCTAACTAAGCTAGGACAACAAACAAACAAAAACTAAATCGCAGCTTTAACATAGCATCACCATTCAGCATTAAGGATCAAAGTTTGATGTAATCAAGCATTCTTAGATGTTATAAGTTGTTAAAACATTAGCAGCAGAACCAAATTGATTAAGAAACTCACCAAAACATTCACCTTTCACACACAGAGCTTCCTAACTCAGCTAGATACCCAAAAGAAATAAAATCAAATAAAGGTTTTAGCTTTCTATTACTTGATCATTGCAGACAAAACACAGTTTCCTCTGAGACAAAAACATCATCAACCAAAAGACTTTGTTCAGCTTCAAGAGTCAACACTCAAACTATGACAAGACTCCCATAAAATGACTTCATCATTCAATTCATTGGACAAGATTACCAAAAAAACAAACCGTACAATTTCAAAAAACCCACTTGTGGTCCTAAGATATAATCACAGAAACAGAGAATCTAAACCAAAAAGATAAAAAAATTTCCACCGAGAAAGAAACAAAAATCGAAACTTTAGATTACAAAAACAGAGAAAACTCTAAGACCACAAAAAAAGGAATAAAATTTGAGAGGCTTACACAGTGTTAGCGTGTTGAATATCAGCTTCAAGAGCTTTCAGAGAATCCTTGAACGAAACTTTTGCCATTTAAAATCTAATTCTCATGAAACGAACAGAGGAATCAAAAAGTATATCAAAGCAAGAAGAAGAGAAAGAAGAAGATAGAAGAAGCAAATGAAAACAAAGTTTGATGCTTTTCCTTTTAGCAATTAGATAGAAAAGATATTTCTTCACCCAAATTCGATGATCAGAAAGAATGTCATTTTCGTAAAATTGTGCAAGGGAAACGGTATTTTGGTAAATTTGTGTTTGGAGATAAACTTCTTTAGTGGTTTCGGTTTCGATTACCGAAGTAGCTTTATCGAGAAAAGACGCGGAAGTGGGTATAGGAAATGACCATTTTGCCCTTTGTTCGGCTAATGTTAGAGAGAGAGAGAGTGGTATAAAAATCTTGTCGGGAGTAATCTTCTGTTTATGGCATAGGTGTCCGTTTGTGATCTATAATAGTATCTTGACACGTGGAAGGATAAGGATTAAGTATTTGCTTTATTAAGATTTAAAATAATTATTTGCCTTCCTTTTAATTATGAAAAGTCAATCACCCACTTGTACTTTTATGGTATCATCATTGAATACATTACTATAAAACAGATTTTGGATAAAGGACAAATGAAACAAATTGATATATAAAAAAACAAAAAAGGAAAATATTATTTTATTACTGATTATTAGACTTTATAATTCAACTAGATTATACATATTTAATATAAAATAGTGCCTTTTTACTGTTGATTATATAATTTTAATATAAATTTACAAATAATATTTCTTTTACCCAAAATTTTTCTTTAAACATTATTAGAAATTTAATGTATATGTTAAAGTTTTGAAGAAATGTTGATTGAAATAAAACTACTTTTAAATTATACTATATATGTTTATATTAGGGAATTTTGCCAAATGTGGTACATTTTGGGAAAATCTTAGCAAATGTACCACATTTGAAATGGATTTAGCATTCATACCACATTTGGTGTTTGTGTGGCAATTCTTGGACGATTTTGCCCTTCTCTGTGCGTCAGGTATGTGTCAGGGGAATAAGCTACAGTAGACGCCGGTTGGGAAACGGGGACAACTTTGTGTCAGAGAAGGACAACTTTGTCTGAAAGACAACTTTGTGTCATAAAAGAATGACAAAACATTGCATTAAATGCAGTTTACATTTACCATGGACATGAAATAGAGTGAATGATATCCCCCAAGAAGAAGTCCAGATCTCTTGATTGTCCATCGCCAGATGATGTGGTTTTACCAGCCAGAGATCTGGATTTACTCGGGGACAACTTCTCTTGATTGTCCATCGCCAGATGATGTGGTTTTACCAGCCAGAGATCTGAATTTACTCAGAGACAATTTGATCTTTATTTTATTCCGCCAGAGAGCCGAAGACGAAGATCTGGATTTACTCGGGGACAACTTTGTTTTACCAGCCAGAGGGAAAAAAAAGGTTCAATAATCCGGGTAAGTGAGGACAATATTGTTCGACTAATCTGTGGACCAAAATAGATGCCGAGAAATCTAAATAAAATTCAAAACCCTTAAACGAGAACAATTGGTAGACAAAATGTGGAATTCATGATAATAACAAAATGATGAATCGGGGACAAGATCTAAACGCAACAGAAAATTCCCATTCGGGGACAAGATCTGGACAACAGTAGAGAATGTTTATATGAAAAAAAGTTTTGTCGTGAATGAGAGAAAGAACTAGACAAAGAGAGAGATAAAGTGAAAGTGAAAAAAATAAATAAAGAAAATAAAAATGTAACAACAAAAACAAAAAGAGAAAATTGTAGTTACCAATGTAGAGAAATAAAGGAAGGCAGAAAAGTCAGAGGAGCACATCAACTACAGGTTTTGGTCTCTCATGTTGGAGGATAAAATGGTCTTTACCAATAGCAATTGTGGTACAAGAGAAAAATGAGTATATAAAGTGGTAGAACCAAAAATATTTCGGTGAAATGTGGTATAGCAGCTAATTTTCTCTTTATATTATATATCTTGTTAAGTTTGAAAAGTAATATTCCCTCTGTTTTAGTTTATAAGGTGTTTAAGGTAAAAACACACATATTTAAGTAGTTTGTTTTTTCTTTTAAAAATTATGATTTGAATTTAATAAAAATAAATATCACCAATTATAAAAAATATCGCAGAATAGAAATGGTCAGAAATGATCAAATACATTTATATTTGCATGGAAACTTGCAAAACATCTTATAATATGAAACAAAATAAAATATCTAAAACATCTTATATTTTGAAACTGATGGGATAGTATATTCCTAATAGTTGAAATTAAAAATAATTTATAAATGTTATTTTCTTTTTTTTCTTTTTTTTTTTTGGATAAAAAATGTTATTTTCTATGCAAGCACATTAAGGAAAACTTATGAGAACAAGTGAAAAATGAGAAGACAGAGAAATAATTGACATTATTTTTTTTTGCTCCATTATGTTTTATTTAACGATTTGCGGATTTTGGTATACCAAAGTAACCGACCCCTCAAAACCTGCAATGTTTAGAACGCTTATTGTTAAGTCTAGTGAACAAGAGTGTTGTGGTCAATCTATTTAATTCATGTGAAATCGATGTACGCAATGAACTAAACTAACTAACAATATCTATTTTTTGGAGTTCTAAACTCGTTCAATGACAAAGTGGTTGCTCAATTTGCAGATTTTCGGATACTACCCAAACAATTTAAATTATACAAATTTATATATACACATAAGATTCGTAATCACACAATTAATTATTTGAAAAATAACTAAAATATGTACCATTGAGAAAAAGTTACGGCAGCTATTTAAGTGGTTTACTATGGGGGTCTCAAGTCCGAGAAGCATAGATCTTTTTGTTCGTTTTTTTTTTTTGGTTCAAAAGAAATATATATAGATCTTAAGACCAAAATTTCTTAGGTAACCAAAAAAAAAAAAATTCACGTGAAAATCAGAAGTGTACCCAAAGAAAAAGAAACAAATGGTTGACAAACAAAACAAAAATTTGGATTAAAAAAAAAAAAGACAAACAAAACAAAAAAGAAAATGAAACAAATGAAATTGTTAAATCTCTTTTAACACAAAAGAGTCAATTATTACAAAACAAATGCAAAAACCCAAATTGTTTTTTTTTTTTTAAAATCCAAATAAACCAAGCATATCATGGAACCAATGATCGATGATAATTGCGAGCTAGAATCATATTCTTATGAGCTTTAAATCATGAACTAACATCGTTTCACCGATGGAGTGCATCCATCTCTTCCTTGAACTTGGCCATTGCGTACCTAGGAAGTGTTGTCAGCACCCGAACACCACCACTCTTCCCTGGAACCGCTTTTGACGCCGGCAACAAAACACACATAAAAGGCAGTGTCAGAGGAACCAAAGGTATAATGTTCATTAAACCTCCCCAAACTTCTTGATCCAACCCAAGATGACGCCAATCAGTCAGCATCATGAAAACTCCTCCGTGGATCTCCTCGGAAGCTAACTTCAGCTTCATTGTATTCTCCATCTCTCTAAGTTTCTCCCACACGTAACCATTATCGAGCGCCTCTCTCTTCGCGTCTTTTATGAGCCTCACAAGGCGAGACATCGGCGTTTTGCTTAGCTCTTCCGCTGTCAATGCCACGGATGCATAGGTGAAGGCATTTCCATAGTAGCCTTCAGGTAATGGAGGCTCCATAGAGCTGCGGATACCGACTGATATCACCAAATCTGTAATCGTGTCGGGATCTAGCTTCATGGCTCGACATCTTGCTCTCCAAACGTAGGCCGCAAGAGCCTCCACGGTCGTGATCTCCATGTTCTTCTCGTTCTCATTGGCAAGGTTCTCATCTTCGATACTTATGTTCTTGAGTTTAGTGATATCTTCGGATGTAATGTTCAGGATTTCACGGACCATGTCTTCGGTTGGTGTATCGGGCGAAGAGCAAGCTTTCTCCAAATCAACGAGTTTTGGATCTTTTTTGTCGTTACCGAGCTTACCTAAAATCACGACGTGTTAAAAGTTTCTCATGGATAAACGTAAAAGTATCCAATTTCATAATATTATTAATCAAAAATTAGACCAAACTAAAATCAATTAAGAAAACAATCCGAAACATAGAACGAAAAAATATCTCGCAAATAATTATAATTTTTGGTATGTTGTAATAGATTTTATAGAAAAATTAAAAATATATATATGTACGTCATATGTGATAGAATTATAAATATATCTTTTTTTTTTTTTTTTTGGTGCGAGAATTATAAAAATATCTAGAAACGCTATAATTAAATATAATAATATAATTTCGCCCTCTTAATATTTGTAACCAAATGGAACTTGTATGTACATATGAACTCTAACGTCTAAAAGCATTAAGTGAGATGGTTGTGTTAATTTCTTACATGGAGAACTAATTTGGTTAGAAGTGAGCCTGTCTCTGTCCCACACGGGGATGACCGTGGGTTGGGCTTTCCCGGCGGCAAGCTCAAGTATGGCTTGAGAAAACTGAGCCAGTCCAATACCATCACAAACGGTGTGAGAATGAACCAAGCCAATAGTCATTCCTCCACAAGTGAACTTAGTGACCTGTAGAGCCAGAGGCCTGTACCCAAGATTACAACCTTTCAATGTGTCGTGTGAAGGAACAAGTTGGTAGGTTGCGTCCAAGTGATCACCACTCTCCAAGTAATTGAGAGAAGAGAGAGAGCACGAGGCCGTTGCCTTTATAAGGGGGACTCCATCGCCTTCCGTACAATCTAATTGGAGTGTCTGGTCGCTCGTCAGCCGGTGAAGTTTTCCGGCGAGAGGGTAATAATAGACAAGGGCATTAGAGAGGGCGAGTTGAATAAAAGAAGCCGGGTGGTAGTCGGCGTGATCTTGAACGTAGGGGTTTGGGGCGAAGACGCATAGGATGTCCAGGATGACTTCGTTGTTAGGATCGTTGTCAATGGTAGAGAGAGACAAAGTGACATCAGGTGTTGGCTTTGAGGGTTTCACAAGAACCACTTCTGATTTCTCAACGACAAAGGGACATGAATTGTCTCTGGTTGGCATGTTTGTGTGTGTGTAAATGAGTAGTGCTCTTATTATAGCTAATTCTTATATAAGCATTGTTTTGTGAATTTAAAACCATTTCGAAAATTCTCCCATTTTCCGAGTGGGTTTATTTAACGAAAGTAGTTAACATTTAATATCAATATTACTAAGTCATACTAATATTAGTAAGCCACTTGATGATTAATGCTCTACCATGCACTAATCCCTTTCTCTACCCGAGCACGACCTAATAAGTATTTGCTGGTTTTATTTAACGAAAGTAGTACATTTAATATCAATATTGCTAATTAAGTATGAAGCCAATACATATTTTCTTAAAAAAAATAAAAAAACAAAGCCACACTACAAGAAATATGAGCATTGATAGCATATTAGGATAGCACGGTTTTCGTATTTGCTATTAAAGATGTGTTCGGGATTTGATAACAATATCATAGCATTTCAACAATGCTAAGCCTTGTAATAGCAAAATAAAAAATTAAAATTCAGATCAAAACTAAAATCACTTTGACCACCAACACTTAGCGAAATTAGAACGAAAACTTAAAATTTCGCATGTGACCGCCACCATTTTTTCAAATATTACTACAAAGAAAAAAAACATAAAAAAAAACATAAAACCCAAATCAACATTTGCAACAACCCTAATCAGAAATCAAGATCTGCTCCATACCAATCATCCAAGGTCCAAATCCAATTTTCTTCTTCTTCTTCTTCTTCTTCTTCTTCTTCTTCTTCTTGGGAACACGACTTCATCACCGCTCTAAGTAACAATGGCCTTTACGCCGTCGTCTCTCCTCCCAAAAATCTTTGTGGTTATAAGAAGCCTAATCTTCTTCTAAAACCATATTCTTCGACGCATCGTCCCCTTCAGGTCATAACCTCTTACGACAATGGAGTTCTGGGGTAAACATCTCCTATTTCCCACACAGATCTAAAAGCAAGGTTGGTCTTTAGTTTCTCTTACTTTCGGTAAAACTCTGCGGATGAAATCTTACTCTCATAGGTCTCGTCAGCAACAGAGTTTACTGATAAAGAATCAGAAAAGCATGACGAATCTGATGATGGAGAACAGGAGAAGCAACAAGGGCTAAAGCAAGGACGTGAGAGTTTGGAGAAGAAAAGATGAAGAAGGGTTGAGAGGAAGAACAAGCAGAATTAGTTGACGATTTGAGTGTAGTAAAACAAAGAAATCAGAGTTATCCTTGCTCGAGTATGATTATGTTCCCAAGATGGTTGTATTCGTGGATTCGAATCTGCCATGTCTAGCACGCCAAGTGTTCGACGATATTCCATACTTGAATGTTGTCTCTGCTACATCGGAAATATAAACGGTAATGTATATGTCCTTTGCTTCGAGACAGAACATGAGTAATGATGATGGTTGGTTTAGTTTCTAGGTCTGGAATTGAGAAGTTAAAATGAAATTGGTTAGTAAGAGTGTTTGCTTGTAAATGAGAAGGTGAATGGGCTAGTCTAAGTGGAGGATACATGCTTTATTCATCTATGTGTTTGCAGATTTTAAATGGTTAGTGATTTGTTTGATCTCTCTGTTTCTCTTATTTTGCTCATCTTTTGAGTAATCGTTAATTCTTATTTGATTTTGGATATCAAAACTATGTTTCTTGCAGCAATTTTGTATCACAGATGGATACTCAACATTGTTGAAAGTTTTCATCTCTTGTTCTTGAGGAGGATGAAGAAGTATGGATTACAAATTCTTTTGGTCAAGGCTAGTTTAATTCCCATGTGAGCAATGAAACTGGTCAATAAGGACAGGTTCGTTTTCTTTATGAATCTTAATGCTTATTTTATTAAATATTTGCCTAGTAAATGAGATTGGAATTCTTATCCCTTGATACTTCAAGAAAATAGAGACAATGATAACATGATGGAACTATCATATTCGGCTATCGCAAAGCTTGATCAAGCAAAACAGAATGAGATCCAACCTTCTTCATAAAAATTAGAAGGTTATTTACTTTACTTCGTCTTTGTTACTCTTGATGGTTTTGGTTTTGGCAATTTCAGTTCCAAACTAATTCAGGCTATCCACAAGCTTTCCTTTCGGCATCAAGACTTCAAGGTAAACTAATACCCTTTGATTTCTCGTGTTTTCATAAGGTTAGCAGCTGATCAGTTCAAATTATTTAGTAGATATACCCTGCATTTTAAGGAAATTTGAAGCTAATAAGCTTGTCTATTGTACTGCATTTTTAGGACTATTGTTGCTTTGGAGAAGGCAGTGAAGTGAGAATTGCTTGGAATGAGACAACCTAAGTTCTTTGAAGGAGAGAAAGAGCAAGCTAATGGGAAGGCAACGCACATAGAGGGGATGAGATTGAAGTTGTCTTTAGAATGTTAGCTTTATTTTGTTTAAAACTTGGTATGATGTTATGTTAAAATGGATAATGTAATAATATTGTTATGTATGTTGATGATTTATGAAATATAAAAATTATATTATAAATCCAATTAAATTTATTTTCCAAAATAGGATTCATATATAATAATTATATATGCAAATAGCTTAAAATAATCGCAGTATAGACTTGCTATTGTAGAATGCCCTATGATAACAAAATGCAGGTGCTATATAAGATTTAATTACAGCGTTGTAATTTTGCTATAGTATCTGTATATATCATAGCATTAAAAAAAATGCTATCGTATGTCAAAAACCTATTATAGCTGCCGATGTCATAGCATTAGTGAATTCGCTATCTTATATGTATGATAGCATATTTTCCGCGCTAACAATGTGCATATTTCTTGTAGTGCCAAGATATATATATATATAAGCCACTTGATGCTTAATGCTCTACCACTAATCCCTTTCTCTACAACAGTACGTCCTAATCAGTATTTGCTGGATTTCAATTTTTCCGTTTTCTCGATTCAGGGTGGTTCTTTTTAAGTTTTCCATGGTGGCTGTAAAATGACTGAACCGGTTTTAATACAGTTCAAAATGTTTCATAACTTTTGAAACCGCAACAATCCGTTTTCGCAAATTCATGCAGTCGCAATTGCACCCATTACGTTTAAACCAGCTAAGCCCTAAAAAAATTTAGTATAAATATAATATTTTAAATAATGGGTTTTCCACATTAGCATCAAAAATCATCTTTAATATATAGGGGGTTTGACCCAAAAAAAAAAAATGTTTTTAAGTAATATACACATGTCATTAATATACAGCCACACTTTCTAAAAAACATCGAGCGTCCCTTATTTGGGCTTAGAAACCTCTCTTCAAACAAGTGTATTTGCTTTGTTCGGTTAGAGACCTTAGACCGGAAATAAACACTTTCCCTTTGACCTAAAGACCCTGTTTCTCTTTTCATGCAGCCTTTTTGCTTTCTCTTTCTTCCGATTTCGAAGCTTTTCTGTTTGTTCATCAGTGTTCTTCATCTATTCAATTCTCGATCATGTCTTCGGCTATGGACAAAGCCATGATGGCTATGTCTCTAGAGGAAGAAGATATCCCCTTCGATATGCCAGATCTGCCAGAGTTCTCATCTTGTGAAAGAAATGTTTTAAGCTTGGTAGGTAGAACTTTGAATCCAGATTGCCAGACTATGAAGCACCTCATCCGCGACATGCCCAGAAAGTGGCAAAAGATAGGTCGTGTCCGTGGTATAGCACTATCTCCCGAGAAATTCCAATTCATCTTCAACTCAAAACACGATTTAGATGAAGTTTTAGAAAAGGGAGTTCACACCTACAATGAATGGGCTCTAGCAGTGGAAAGATTGGTTGAGCATCCTCCTGACAGCTTTCTTCAGTTCATTCATATTTGGATTCAGATCTGGAAGCTTCCGATAAACTTTTACACCACTAAAGCCATCTCCTCTCTAGCGGATCTTATTGGCCAAGTTAAAGTTGTGGAATTTGAGCCTGGCAAGCCCCAGATTCTTCCTTTCGTTCGTGTCCAGGTACTCTTTGATGTCTCCAGGCCTCTTCGTCGTGCTAAGGTCGTCAATTTACCACATGGTGGTACCACTTCTGTTAATTTTGAATATGAAAGGATACAGAAGAGATGCTATGAATGTCAATGTTTGACTCATGAGAGAGATTCTTGTCCTCTGTTCCTGAGGAAAAAAGAAGCCCAAGCAGAAGTGAAGGGTAAAGGTACCTCTCGGGTTCCAGTGGTTAAGATTCCTTTCCTCAAACAATCTGACTTGCTTTTCGGGATTCTTGAAGAACATCAAGTCGGGATTAATCCTCTCACCGGTCATCAGAGAATTGCTCCGGAGGTATTAGAAGGGATGTGACAGTATGTGAATGTTTCTAATGCTGACGAGAAGCTAATCAGAATAGAAAGAATCAAGAAATCAGTCAAGGAAGTGGAGAGTGATCCCATCATGGCTAAGTCTTATCTAAAATTGGAACCTCCTCTGGTGGTCGCAGCGGTCTCTACCAAGTCAAAAGGAATCGTTTTCAGTTATGAAAACCAAGCTGGTGCTCAGTCCTCTCAGCTAGCTCCTTCCAGCAGTGCTCCTCCGGTACCTAGCTCTTTCATCAATGCTGTTGGGGAACTTAATTTAGTGGATCAGTCTCGGTCTCAATCTTTGTTTGATCCTAAAGATTTCCTTTGTTTGGCTCAACCTTCTCAAGATATTTCTACGGTGTATAGAACAGGTTACTTTGCAACTAGTTCTTCCGGGAATATTCAAAAGAAGTCTAAGCAAAGAAAAATACCTAGCAAGTTCACTAGGAAGCTAAAGCAGGCGGCATCTCTCGTTCCTATGGAAGCAGTGAACATCGAGGAAGGTCTTAGTTTGGGGTTTTTGGTTCAAAAGAGGACAAAGTCAGTTGCTGCAGCTTCAGAGAGACCTATCTTGAAGTTGGGAACTGAGATAGGTCAGCAAATCAAAAGAAAGGCAGTGGAAGAGTTGTCTTGCCCTTCAAACTCTCCAAACCCAAACAAAAAGAGGTGATCCCAATAGAGGGATCGCCCAATGTTTAATGAGCATCGTGAGCTGGAATTGCCAGGGCTTGGGACGGTCTCAAGACCTGACAATTCACCGTCTTAAGGGATTGCGTAAAACACTTTTCCCTGAGATGTTGTTCTTGATGGAGACAATACATGGTCGTGATGTTCTAGTTGATTTGCAAGAGACTCTTGGTTATGATAGAGTTTTTACGGTGTAACCAGATGGAAGAAGTGGCGGGTTGGCTTTATTTATTAAGGCTGGGGTTACTGTGGATCTGAAGTTTGTAGATAAGAATCTGATGGATTTTCATGTTCAGTTTGGTGCCGTTTCTTGTTTTGTGTCTTGTATATATGGTGATCCTATATATTTTCAAGAAGAGACTTATCAATTGGGAAAGGATGAGTAGAATTGGGGTTGGAAGAAGAGACCCTTGGTGTATTGTTGGAGACTTCAACGATATTTTGCACAATGGAGAAAAGATTGGTGGCCCTAGAAGAAGTGACTATCTCTTTAAACCCTTCTCAGATATGTTGCTTGCTTGTAATATGGTTGAACTTCCCAGTCATGGAAATAGCTTCACGTGGGCGGGTAGACGTTATGATCTTTGGATCCAAAGTAGATTGGATCGATCTTTTGGAAATAAAGAATGGTTTGCTCTTTTCCCAGTATCTAATCAGTCTTTTTTGGATCTTAGAGGATCAGATCATAGGCCGGTTTTGATAAAGCTCACTGCTTCTCAGGATCTCTACAGAGGGTAGTTCAGATTTGATAAAAGACTTTTATTCAAACCAGATGTGGAAGAGACCATTTTTAATGCTTGGAATTCTACTGATACCTTCAGGACAGGTGATGTGGCTCAGAGATTAAGGTCTTGCAGGAAAGCATTAAGCTCTTGGAAGAAGACTAATACTCTGAATTCTAAAGACAAGATCAATCAGTTGGAGAACGCTTTAGAAGTGGAACAGTCTTCTCTCTTTCCTAGATTTCTCCTAGTCTATAATCTTAAAAGGGATTTGGCACTAGCTTACAATGAAGAGGAAGACTATTGGAGACAAAAAAGCAAGGATAAATGGATGCATTCAGGAGATAGAAATACCGGGTTCTTCCATGCTTCTGTTAAGAATAGTAGAGCCAAGAAGCGGATTGATTTACTCCTTGATGTGAATGGGAATGAGCAAAATTCTGAGGGTGCTAAAGGTGAGGTAGCAGCAGCTTATTTCAATTCTCTCTTCACGTCAGTCAATCCGGCTAGTTTCATTCAATGGTTTTTTGACTTCCCTACAAAGGTATCTTCTGTAATGAATGATAGACTCATTCGCTCTGTTTCTAAGGATGAGGTGAAAGACGCAATGTTTTCTATCAAACCTTCTAGTGCACCGGGACCTGATGGAATGTCTGCTTTATTTTTCCAACATTATTGGAATATTGTTGGTGACCAGGTTGTGAAGGAGGTTCAGCTTTTCTTTCTCAATGGTGAGTTCCCTGAAGAGTGGAACTACACTCACCTATGCCTTATTCCTAAAGTTCCTTATCCCACAGAAATGAAGAATTTGAGGCCTATCAGTCTTTGTTCAGTTCTTTACAAAGTCATATCTAAGATCCTGGTCAAGCGCCTCAAGCCCCTTCTCCCGGTTTTGGTCTCTGATTCTCAGACTGCTTTTGTTTCTGACAGATTAATTTCTGATAACATTGTTGTAGCTCATGAGATTGTTCACAGTTTGAAATCCAAACCAGTGTTTGCAGCAGAGTTTATGACTGTCAAGACTGACATGTCTAAGGCCTTTGATAGAGTAGAATGGAGCTATCTAAGGTCTCTTTTGCTTGCTTTGGGTTTTCATGTGAAGTGGGTTAATTGGGTGATGAAGTGTGTTTCCTCAGTAACTTATTCTGTGCTTATAAATGATGTTCCCCATGGTATGATCAAGCCTCAAAGAGGATTGAGACAAGGAGATCCTCTCTCTCCCTTTCTTTTTGTTCTTTGTACTGAAGGTTTGACGCATCTGCTGAATAGAGCTAACTTTGAAGGAAAAATCACTGGTTTTCAATTCCATGAAAATGGGCCTGCAATTCATCACTTACTATTCGCTGATGATAGCCTCTTTATGTGCAAGGCTGACCAGGATCAAGCTTTGGAGCTTCTGAGGATTCTTACTTGCTATGGCAAAGCAACTGGACAGGAATTGAACCTTTCCAAATCTTCTATTACCTTTGGTGTTAAGGTTCCGCAGGGGAACATGGATCTAATCAAGGCAGGTTTAGGCATTTACAATGAGGGTGGCGCTGGAACTTACCTGGGCCTTCCCAAGTGTTTTAGTGGATCTAAAGTTGAGCTCTTGAGTTACATCAAAGAAAGGCTCTAGTCAAAACTGTCTGGTTGGTTTTCTAGAACTCTCTCTCTTGGGGGTAAGGAAGTGTTACTTAAGTCAGTGGAAATGGCGATGCCGGTCTTTGCTATGTCTTGTTTCAGATTACCCAAGACCACATGTGAAAATCTTTCTAGTGCTATGGCTGCTTTTTGGTGGAACTCACATGAACATGAGAAGAAGATTCATTGGTTGAGTTAGGATAAAATTTGTCTATCAAAGGACCTTGGTGGCCTCGGATTTAAGGATATTGCTCTATTCAACCAGGCTCTTCTTGCCAAGCAAGCTTGGAGGTTGATTCAGCACCCTGACAGCCTATTTGCTACATTCCTTAAGCATAGGTATTTTCCATTGGTAGGCTTTCTTGATGCGATTTTGGGAACTCGTCCCTCTTTTTCTTGGAGGAGTATTCTCTTTGGTAGAGACCTTCTTATCAAGGGGCTTCAAAAAAGAGTTGGTAATGGTAATTCTATTAAGGTTTGGATGGAACCTTGGTTAGAGGATGGTATTATGAGGATCCCCTGGATTAAAAACCCCATTATTGATCTTGAACTTTTTGTCAGGGACCTAATTGATTTTGCTAGACGTGATTGGGATCACTTGAAGCTTGAAGAGCATTTCTTCCCGGATGATATTGTCAAGATAAAGAAAAGAAAGCATGTGGTGGATCTTGACGATTTTTATATCTGGAAGCATAACAAGAATGGTGATTTTTCTGTTAAATCGGCCTATTGGTTAGCTTGTGAGATTAATAGGGTTGAGATTAATTCACTTGCAGAGGTGCAGCCTTCTATCAACATCTTAAAGGCTCAGGTTTGGAAGCTTATCATTGATCCTAAGATAAAAGTCTTTCTATAGAAAGCTCTCAGCGGTGCTCTTGGGGTTACTGACCAGCTTCGACATAGAGGAATGAAATTGGATGGTCGTTGTCAAGTCTGTGGAAAAGATGGAGAAAGTATTAACCATGTCTTGTTTGAATGTTCTGTTGCGAGAAAAATCTGGGCTATGTCTCACTATCCTTCGCCTGAGAATGGGTTTGATAAGGGGGCTGTTTTTTCAAACTTTCATCATCTTCTTGTTAACAGGGACAACAAGTCTTGGCCAATCAACATTAGGAAGAGCTTTCCCTGGATTTTATGGAGAATTTGGAAAAATAAGAATCTCTTGTTCTTTGAAGGCAAATCTTTTGATGCTAGACAATCAGTGATGAAGATTCAAGAAGATGTTGATGAGTGGTTTTTGGCCCAGAGGAAGGACAGAATGGTGGATCTGAATGTGGACACTTTGAATTCCTCTTTGGGTGGTCTTATTGCATCTGCAGCTCAGGTTCACTATTTGCCCGATCCGTTACCAATCTGGAAACCGCCACTTAGTGGTCGGTTGAAATGTAATGTGGGGATGTCCTGGTCTACAAGGAATAACTTGGCATGTAGTGCTTGGGTTCTTCGGGATGAATGGGGGAGAGTCTTGTTACATAGCCGCAGATCTTTTACCAATGTTACCAACAAAGAGCAGGCGGTTTTTTTAAGTGTTCTTTGGGCTATGGAAAGTTTGATTAGTCACAGGTGCACCAAAGTTCTCTTTGCTCTTCATGATGTTTCTCTGATTGGTCTCATCTTGAGACCGATAGCTTGGCCCTCTTTCAAGTATGAGTCTACAGAGTTAATGCGTTGTTTGGGACTCTTTTTGGAGTGGAGTGTTGTCCATGAGCTTCCACTAGCTAACAGAGGAGCTTATCTCTTGGCTCAAAGTGTTACTGCAGAGTGTAGACTCAATTCTTATGTTGCTTCAAGTTATCCTTCTTGGTTATATGGCTTGTTTGAACATGAGAGATTAGCTTCCTCTGTCTAAACTTTTTGTGATGATTCTCGAATTGGCTGGTTCTTGTTCCGCCGTATTCTTTTTGTATACGCCATGTTCCTATAAATGGCTTAGAGTAATAGTTTGGTTGGTTATGGTCTCTTTTCAATTGTGAAATTGGTCTGCTCTGTAATCTTTCAACAATCAATATATTTACCCGGATGACAAAAAAAAAAAAAAAAAAAAGTAATATACACATGTGTCTTAGTCGTAAAGATCCCATCCCACTTTGAAGGGAGATAAAAACTACAAATGAAATCATGTGACTTATTGTATAAAATGAATAGAAAGCCGTATGTATATGCATTATTTATAAACAAATGGAATAACATAGCTTGGTCAATTAAAAAATTGGGTCCATTTAATTGAGCTAAGAATTTAATTTGCACCAAATAAAATTTAGATAAGTTTTTTTTCTTCTTAAATTTTAAGTTAGGTTTTAAAATTTTTGGATCATACCTAGTTAAACCAATAGAATATCGTGATCAAATAAATAAAATAGAATAGGTACACGTCTATATAAGAATAGTGCATTCATAAAGTTTATAATATAAATTATTAAATATTTTCTAAAGTAACAGATTTTGTTTGATCGTTAGACGTGTACACAATAGAATAATGTATATATGGGCTACTCCAGGTTTTTTGAGTGACGATCACGAATTTTTGTGATGTGAAGAAGATATATCGGGCGATGTTGTGTTCGCTTATATTTTTGAGCTAGTCCATGAAAAAACACTGATTTTAGGGGGATACGTTAATTGGTGCGTTTTGCTTAACAACGTTAGTTTCTAGTTTTGCACCTTTTGATATACATTCTCTTTTCTTTCTTTCTTTTTTGTTAAAGGGCTTTGGCTTTCATTGATTAATAAAATGGGAAACTACAATTTTTAGTTTTTAAAGATACAAAGGTGATATAATTAGGGTTTTATTTTTGTAATTTTCCCTTAAAAATAGAATTTGGTGCCCATTTACAACCTGAATTAGGCACTTGCTTTTTACCATTTAATCTGTGGCGCGCGACGTGGGTTTCAATTTTCATTTAAAAATAAAATTGATAATTAAATTAATATTTTTGAGATTTCAGCTCACAGATGGGTCAGAACAACAAATGGGACAAATCTTCTTCGTCTCAAGCCATTTGGTTATACATTCAGAGTGGTATGGATGGTCACAAGGTCGGAGAACGACCAAAGATTCTCTTTCTTCAAACTCCATTTGGCAAACCACACAACGATCAATCTCGTTTTTGTTATGAGAAAATATGTAGGTAGATGCGTTCAAACACGTGGAGATTTCGCTTGGATTCATGCCACGTTTTTCGACTCCGATGAAATCTCCAAGTGCAATCAGCTCCTCGTAAGACAACTGGTCGGGGTCAACCTCATCTTCTTCCTCCAAGAAATCATCCTCAATGTTGGAGTTGCTTTCTTGATCTTCAAGAAACTCATTGATTTCGTCTTCATCTTCTCCAAATCCATTGCTATCGAAATACTCGTAGTAGTTCTCATTGCTTTCTTCTTCTTCATCTTCATCTTCAGATTCTTCATCACTTTCTATCATTGAAAGCCTTGAAGAGGCCGAGTCATGATTAGAAGGGGCAAATTGGGAATTAGCTTGGGAGGCAGCAAGAGCAACTTCAGAATTTGCTTGCTCGAAGAGGGTTAGATCGGGAAGTTTGTTTGGAGGCTGCTTAGGCTCTTCTCCTTGATTATCCATTAGAGAAGAAGAAGCTGGTTGTGTTGTGGTTAGGAAGCCGTGCTCCGGAATTTTATATGAGAATGGGCTTTCATGTCAAAGAGGTTACTTAAGCAACAAGAAATGAATATTGTGGACAGCTTCCGTACAAAGTAATACAAAAGAAACATGGGGAAGTTAGCTAGGGTATCCTTTTTCGCTGTTATAAGCAAAATAATGCATAAGTTTTTAAATTACCAATCAGGTCTGCATTTTCCCTTAACTTTGGGTCTGCAAGAAAGAAAAGTCATATCTTGGACGACAATCTACTGCCTCTACCAAAAGAGCATTTCTGAGTATTGCGTGACATATTCCTCTATATATAAAGAAACACTTGTGTATAACCAGCCTAATAGACAATCACATTAAACTTTGTTTTTATGTACTAAATCCCGTGTACTATATATATTATTTATAAAAATTAAAACAATACAGTTTGGTGGTATTGAACAAGATTATTAGAGGAAAAAGTGTATACTATTAAGTTTATTCTTGGAGGATCGAAGAATAAAGTTAAAGCTTATTTTCATCTTTCTTTCAGGCACTAAGGTTTCTTTGCATTTATCATTGAACTTGCAAATAAAAGTTTAACCATAAAAAACCTTGCAAATACATAGTTTTGCCAAGGAAATGTGAATATTTTATAGGATACAAAGAAAAGCGAATTGTTAACATATATATTTGGAGGAAATAAGAGAATTCAAGACTAGGGGTTGCTTAGGAACCTAGAAAGGCCGATTTTGCTACCATGGGTCTCAACATCAAGCTTAACTTGAGCTTCAAACTCCGAGAATTTGAATGGCTTATAGCGAGTAGAGTTAAACATACAATCTTTCTCCGGGAACACAAAGTAAACTATCGAGTATCTCTCCTTCTTCTTCATCCTCTTTCCCACTTTATGCAACACACTCTTGTATTCCTCATCACTTATCACCTGTATCAAATGATTTTTTCTTGATTTATTGCATTTGGAATCTATTTTAACTTGCACGGAACGTTAGTTAATTAAGTAATTAATTACCTGCATCATATCCCCAAGACCGATGACAAAAGAATTGGCAAGAGGTTTGACATTGAACCATTCCCCATCTTTCATGAACTCTAGCCCACCAACGTCGTCTTGGTTTATGATCGATATCACCGAACTATCCGTATGAGCCTCGAGTCCGGGGGATTCAGTGCACTGAGGATACCGTTGAACACGTATCACACCTGTTGACTCCGATAAGTAGCTCATTTTCTGGTCACCGGATAATTCGAGGGACAAAGTTTTTGTTATAGCTTCAAATAGGGTCACAATAATCCTAGTTACATGCTTTCCATATTCCTCCATCACCACTCTGCGTAACGCATCACACAATGATAGTTAATAATGTTGACTACGAGACAAAAAAAAAGTAATGACAAAATTAATTAGTAAACGACGAAATGATATCCAAAATTTTACTCATTACTGTAATTTTATGAAACGTATTTGTAAACTCGTGGTATGTGCTTTCGAGTTTCGGCATTAAATTAAGTTTCATCGTCTCATGATTTTGTCGTTTTATGTCACATTTTTTTTCATTTTCCTAGATTATTACGTAAAAAACTCGTGACTTCACCTTGGTGTTATCATTCAGAGTTACTGCGTATTTTGTTAAAATAATTGGCCATCTTTAATCGGAGAAATGAACAGAGTAAATTAACTTAAAGCTATAAAATTTGGGATTTTTGCCAAATGTACCACATTTTTCAAATTTCTTAGCATCTCTACCACAATTGAGAATGGTTTAGCACTTGTACCACATTCATGTGGTATTGTGGTATGAAAAAGACAGTTTTGCCCTCGGCTGATGTGGCAGATAAAGTATAACATTTATGGACAAGTATATGGGGGACAAAAAACCTATACGGGGACAATAATCAAACGAAATATAAACATCAAACAAAATGAAAAGACCGCAATTAGAGTTTACATACTAAAATCCAAGAACAATGAATTAAAATTGAGGGACAAAAACCAGCAAACATGCACAAATAAGATGAAATTATGGAGAAACTCAAACTTCGGGGACAACTGTATGTAAACTTCTTTTTGTGTCCTCAATTTATGAATTTTGTCCCCAAAATTTGAGCAAACGAAAGGAAGGACAAAATGGTCATTAAACATCTCAATTGTGGTATGGATGCTAACTAGGCTTCGAAAGTAGTACTGGACCTAAATTTTAGGCCAAATGTGGTACTCAATCTAATTTTCTCATAAAATTTTAAATTATCTATGCAAAAAAGAATTTTGATTTGACCAAATTCTTTAAACCATCAATGAAGACTAATGAATTTAGTAAAACGTCGTCGTACGTACCTGAAAGACTCAAGCTTGGGATCAGAACAAGAAAGTGCCAGAAGACGAGAGAGAGAAGCCAGAGGAATATTGATGCCTTCGAACAAGTGACCACTAGATTCTTGTGGTGCTCTCGTTACGGCTTTTCCCGATGGACTCACCGTATGTGTTCCCCAGTAATACGATAACGGAGAGTTAACGCCGAACAACGTCCGTTTCTCTTCAAACGGTAGACTCAACACTGACTCCGTCATCTCTTTCACCTGTGACATCAACGTTAAAGGTATCCCAGTATTCTCCAAATGGAAGATCCCCCAGTCTTTGCATGCTTCTCTCAGTTTCTCCATGTCCAAATGCTCCATATCGATAACCGGGATATCGATATCTTTGCTCCGGTCTAAACCCGGCCGCGGTTCAATGGATGTTTCTGGTTCGGTTGGTTCGCTCATTAAAGGTCGAAACTCTGGTGGATAAGACTCCGAGTTGCTCATGCTCTCCTATGAAGTGGACTCGTTGTTTCTGATATCTCTCTTTTGTGAATAAGGGCAATGCATGCATCATCAAACCATGATGGTATATATTTACTAACGAGAAATATTGTGTCAAAGTTATTTTAGTAACTGACGACCGAGTCAATTGTTGTATATATAATTTTATGTTTAATTAGTTATTCTTTTAAGTTTTAACTAATAATAATTCAAAGTACGTACATTTTGCGTCTATTTCCTGCCAATTTCCTACGATTTTGGCCGTAGGACTGCGTCTATTTCTTGTAGTTTCTGGTCAAAACCAAACCGTTTACGCAATAGCCTTTACTTCTTGAGGGTTGATGCGCAATACAAATATTAATCCTCGTCTAGCTTTTAGATTGTCAACAGCGTCAAGGTAGTTCACATCGCTTGAAAGCAGTAAGATATTAGCATGTAGATTTTATGCTACCCATTTATGCATTAGGGAAATAATTTTCTCTTCTGGCTTAGGTCTTTAACTCGAGGTTTGGGATGGACGTGGACAAAGTCGATTGTGATGTGTAAATGAGTTTTCATTTTCTGCACATTGAATAAGTCTTTTATCCCCAAATACTTTGAATAAGATATTTCACCCCGGGGACCTTTTTTCTTTTTTTGGACAAACTCATGTATATTGATATTTCACCTCGGGGACCTTCTTCATACAATACTGATTGAATTTTTCTAAAGATTCCTTTCATATAATTTTATGTGGGAATATTGCAGTTTTCAAAAAAATAAAATGTAACTTATCGAAATTGGTTCAGAATAGAGATTTTAGTAAATTACCCTTTCTTCATTTTGTGGTCTTGTTAAACATATATTTGTGAAAGTAGATCCAGTTCCTAAAACTTCAGGTATCCTATTTTTCATAGCAGATCTTATTGGGTGTGTTGGTTTTGGAAATTTTGCCCACCCCTAATTTTGACAAATGTGGCGACAATGCTAGGCCACATGTCACTATTTCCTTGGTCATATTCTGACCATTAATATCCCATCTCCCAAACTAACATTACACACACAACAAAACAGGATTTAATGTTTAGACTCTCATTCACGTGAAAAAAACAGATTGCATTGGATAACCACAACCAGAATATTTTGGTATCATCATTTCTATAAATATATACGACGTATACATACATATAAACATACCTCTCAAACCAAACTGAGATGAGTTTTGGATCTCGTCTTCTTTTGTTTCTCATACTAACCCTTCCACTTGTAACATCTTCATCCCAAAACACTGCTTCTGTTTCAGGTTTCATCTCTTTTAATCGATTCTTCTTTCTTTATGTTTTGATTCTTTGAATTGTGATGTTCTGACTCTGTTATCGGATTTGAATTGGTTTTATTTGTTAGGATTTGGGAAGACAGGGACTAAAAGTAGATCCTTAATGGTAACCATCGAGGATTATGATGATCCATCTGCAAACACCAGACACGATCCCAGCGTTCCGACCAATGCAAAGGCTGACACAACACCTTAAAACTCTTTTGAGTTTACTTCTTTAGTCTATGTTGAATAATAAATAAATATATAATAATCTCTCTTTCGAGTGATCTGAATTCTCCATGTGAACTATATGTATCAACCACACAATTTGAGGATATTAACACATGGTGTTGGTGTTAAAACAAAAAACGAACATTTTGGCACATAAGCTTTTTTAACATAAACACTAGATTCGTGTCTATGATTGTGTAAGCCCGTAAGGATTACTCAGTAGCTGCCTGCGACGAACGGTTTCGTCAATGTTCCACGGATGAGATCTCTGAGCTCAATCTCCCCTGGGAATCTCCCTTCTTTCAACTTAGAGAACACCTACAAAGAAAAAACATTGGATTTGATTAGCTTTACTAATACTAACAGTCTAACACTAACACATTTGGCACAATAGCAGCACAAGTCTGTGTCTTATAACCAAAGCTTGTCACAGAAAAATGATCTGATACTGACCAATTCTCCATTGCAGCTAACTTCAAAGGCGCCAGAACTTTGCAAGAAAGACTGCAAGAAGTTACCAAGAAGCCAAGTGGAAGCCATGGACCCGAATCTATTCGCTCTCAAAGAATGGTACCAAGCAGGAGGCTGCGCAATTCCAATCATAGAAAATATCTGTTCACCTCCCATAATGAGACCAATAACTCCCATCTGAGCAACTGGCACAACCTTAGCAAGAATACGTTTTGGCGCTGGTGCCGGATAATTCGCAAGAACTACATCTAATCCAGGAAAAGCTGTCTCTAACATCTTCTTCATTGTTACTGCAGTTCCCCTACAATTAAAAGATCACCATTTGTACATAAATACAGGACCTAGCAATCAAATCACGAATAGAAAACCTAAAAAAGACAATAACTTAGAAAGAAGTCGAAACATACTTGTAAGAGCAGGAAACGCAGAAGTTGATCTCTACGGTGTTTCCATATCCAACACCACTTGACTTCTGCTAAAAAGAGGAACGATTAGAACACAAATGATGCGAGAATTGAGTAGGAATTAAAGAGAGATACTAGCGATGAATTCGAATTCACCTGTGAGGGGAAATCTAGGGTTTCTGGGAAACGCTGCGGGTTAGAGATAGACGGTGGTGGTTGTTGCTGAGATTTCGGCGGTGGAGGAGTGAAGAGATTTAAGAGATCCGTGAAAAGCAAGAAAATCGGTAGTCCTAACAAGATCAATTGTGTTTTGTCCATGGCGGATTTTTGAATCTCAGAGAGGGAATTGAAGGAGATTTGATCGGAGAAGACAACAGAATTAAGTCAATTGGGTTAAATAGATGAGAACGTCCAATGTTTCTGTTTTATTATTTTTTAACACTTTTTTTAAAACCCCACAAAGCCCATTAGACCCAAAGAGAACAAACTTGATGATCGATTAACCAACCACTTGGTAAATTCGACAGAGATTAAATGGTGTACATAGAAATGTATAATTTCCGACTAATCCTTAGGTGAGTATAGCCGTCGAGTAATATCGATACAATATAATACATCATTGATATAAGATTGATGTACATCGAAATGGTACATTCAAATCTTACAAAGAAACAAATTTTTACAAGATAATTAATACATTCAAATCTTCATAGGAAAAAAGATAAAAAGTCGCATTCTTATTATTAAATCATACAAAACACTTCACCCATTGGGAAGATACAACACACATTTCCCCATCAAACTTACGTCTGAATCACAACTCCTTGACCCATCATCATCGGCATGTCGTCAATTGCCTTAAGTGGCGGCATGGGCAATGCCACGTTCTTGCCGTCGTAGGCCGAGAGGTGAACTCCTATGGCGGCTCTTCCTGATGGATCCATATTGTTGGACCAGCTTGCATCCCACTCCACTGCCTTTGCAGTCGAACAAGCCACTGTCGCACCTCCAGGAACCGTTAGTCTCGCAGAGTTCTACGAAAAAACGTAACAAGGAAGTTTTTGAATTTGTTAAAACAAAACGAATAGGAGATTCTGTTACATCATGGAGATTTATCAGACTCTCACCTGTGGGAAGAACCTCTCAAAGATCATTCTGTAGTAGTAAGCTTCTTTAGTGTTTGGAGTGTTGTGAGGGAATATATGCGCCGCGTTGGACATCATCTTGTCATTAACCTTAAAACAGAACAGAACTAATCAGATCTGAACATGAATCCAGATGTATTTTAGCTAACTAGAGGAGGAGATATGAGATCTTTTATGTGTACGTTTTGAGCAGCGTGATCTTTCAGGCCATCGATCCAACTGTAGCCAACTCCATCACTGAACTGTTCTTTCTGTCTGTAGAGAATATGCTTTGGCAGATAAGGACGTTCTTCGTCGTCAAAGGCTCTCCTTAGAACCCATTTCTCGATCCTCCCTTCCTCTGGCTTGATCTAGAAAAACCCATATCGAAATTTTGTTTAACGTTAACTTGTCAAAGAAGGTATTGAGTTTGTGATGTAAGTTTTGTAATTACCATCTTGCATTCAGGGTCGAGAGACATAGCTGTGTTGATGAAATCTTTGTCAAGGAAAGGAACACGCGCCTCTAGTCCAAAGGCAGATGTAGATTTGTTGGCTCTTAGACAGTCATACTTGTGAAGAGCCTTGATCTGCAAGTCATCACCGAACATACATGAATTCATATCAAGAAGATAAGTAAATTTAAAGACCTCTGTTTTGATAATGTCTTATTTTGTGGTTAAATGGAATACCTTGCGACAAGTTTCTTGGTGAAACTCTTGCTTGTTAGGTGCCTTATGGAAATAGAGATACCCTCCAAAGATCTCGTCGGAACCTTCACCAGAGAGAACCATCTTGACCCCTAGAGACTTGATTTTCCGGGACATCAAGAACATCGGTGTGCTCGCTCTGATAGTCGTCACATCATAAGTCTCCACATGGTAAATCACATCCTCTATTGCATCAATCCCGTCCTGCACCGAGAAGTGGAACTCGTGGTGCACCGTCCCCAAATATTCCGCCACCTCTTTCCCTGCCTTCAAGTCCGGCGAGCCCTAACACAACAACCATAAATAATGCTAAGTTTGAGTTTCATATTTAAAAACACTATATATCTCATCCAACCTCTGCTTTTAAAACAGAGGAACTCTGTTCTAAATCGCACCTCAAGACCAACGCAAAAGGAATGGAGCTGCGGACCCCATTGCTTAGCTGCTTTAGTACCGGCCAAGTGACGGGCAGTGATGGAGGCAACAAGGGAAGAATCAAGACCACCAGAGAGTAAAACTCCAAAGGGAACATCGGTCATTAACCGCTTAATCACAGCCTGTAGAGAAAAACAAACAGATTTCAGATTAATCCCTCTCACACCACATACATTTAAAAAGAAGAGATGTTTTCTTACGTTTTCAAAGGCGCGTCTTATCGCAAGAGGTTCATAAGGCGTTGAAGGAATGGATTCATTGAACCAAGGAGGATTGTACCATTGCTTAAACCCTCCTAATTTGCTTGAATAAAAATGACCTGGAGGAAACGTTTCGAAATGCTCACAATCGTCATTTAACCCTTTCATCTCTGAAGATATCCAGACAGATCCATCTAATCCCCAGCCAATGTAGAGCGAAGTGACACCAATCGCGTCACGAGCCACCATGAAGGAATTATCTCTTGTGTCAAGTAACACAAATGAGAAGATTCCATCCAACATATCAACAAAATCCACACCATACTCCTCGTACTATATCCCACAAAACACATCAAACTCAAGTCAAAACTTAATAACCAGTTTAGCAAAAAGCAATCAAAACTATATCAAACATACCAAGTGCGCAATGACGTCACAATCACTACCGGTACGGAACTTGTGATTCTTCAAACGTTTTCTCAGCTCCTCATGGTTATAAATCTCTCCATTCACCTTACCAAACAATCAACAACAGAAAAAAGTTTCAGCTTCAAAAATATCAAAAGAGTTATGATATATGACTCCATGGATATAGCGTTACCGTGACAACAATGGTCTTGTCTTCGTTGAAGAGAGGTTGATCACCGGAGGCAGGATCGATGACCGCAAGACGTTGATGGGCCAAGTAATTGTCTCCGTTCTGATATAATCCACTCCAGTCAGGTCCTCTGTGCCTCAATCTGTAACCAAATTTTGAAAAAAATAAACTCACATATTTATACCATATCTAGGGAATATTCCACCAACAAAAAAAAGATTCAGATTTTCTTAGAGAGATCCACATAAACTATGCAAAAAGGGTAACGTTTGATTTGATCAAACATCACTGTTCATGTCACGTTCAACAAAAAGGTCCAAGAAAATGAATGCATTGATAATACTACAAATTATGTATGTCGTGATCGTGTAAAAATGAGATTAGATGACATCAATCTTCCTCAGCATATTCTGAAACAATCATTTTAGTATCTTAAGATGTCTAACATCAAACTAATCATAACGTAATTTTGCAGAATTTAGAATGATTTTAACGTGACAAACCAAATAATTTTCTTATTTTAAAAACCAAAAAAAAAAAAGAGGAAAAATGAATTGCCTGCGAGAAAGCTCAAGAACACGAACTCTCTTGGCCTGAGAATCGTCGGAACATCCTAAAACGGCAAGTATTCCACACATGTTTTTTCTTTCGGTTGCAAAAATGAAAAAGATCACGAAGAATGAGAACAGAAAAAACAGAATTTTCCGAAACTTTAGGGGATAGATTTTTTAAAACCCCAAAAAAAGATTACAGGGAAAATATAACAAAACAGACAGATGTCCAGGAAGAGAAAGGAGAAAATTGCACGTAGAAGTGTTTTATCGATATTTGCGTTTTTGATGTCTTGTTATTCTACGACCGATTGCTCTATTTATAGACACTAAACGGCGCCGTGATGTCGCGTTTTGGTTCTGAAGGAGTCGTGCGTGCCTGCGTGTGGACCAAATTATTTATTTACTTGTAACCGGATAAGTTACCGGATAACTCTGACCAGCTGTTTCCACGTGTTAATTAACCTTCTTACGACTTCCGATGGGTTTTTGTTTTTACTTTTTACATTCTCTTTTGTCCGGTTTCTTCCAATTTTGACGGTGGGGGAAACTCCGGTTTAGGTTTATCCGGCTGAGTCAGCAAGTGGATATGTACTTATCTGACGGTGTAAAAATTGTCCAATGGTTGTTCTGGTTGCTTTAAAGCCGTACACGTGTTATCACGACAATGGTGGGACCACTTGTATTTGATTGTAGGTGAAGCATTTTATCATAATGTTAAAACAGCAAATACATTTCACATGAGATCTCAAAATATATATATATATATATATATTGAAGATGCAGTTTCTGAAGGAGTACCTGAACTAAGTCAAGAAGTAACTCAAGAGAACAGAGCAACATGAACAAGATTAAGGAAATATGCAGAATCTTGTTATGGCGGTTTGAAGTGAAGACTAGAAGCTTAGAGAAGATTCTAGAAGACTGAAGAGTTTCCTTTTGCAAGAAGAAAAGGAAAACATGAAGACAGAGGACAATTTCCTATTCCATAAAGAAAAAGGAAATTGTCCATTCCAATTAGTTTTAGAATTGGAAATCGACCTGTTGTATGGTCTCAACCTATTTAGTATAAATAGGGTGCTAAGGCTTGTAGAAAGCTTAACACAATCACTAGAGAGAATTCCTAGCTATTAAGTCTTAGTTTGAGAGAAATAGAGAACTAGAGGCTTAAAGAGAGCTAAGGGTTTTAAGGAGAGTTATTGTTCTTAATCGGTCTGTGATTAATGAACAAGACTTAGTGAGAATAGAAAATAGTGTTAAAGGAGAAACCTTGTAAACATATTTTCTATTAATCGAAAGAGTTTTTGAGAAATTCTGAGTTACATCGTGAACTAATTCAAAACTTAGTAGCTCTTGCATTTACAATTGGTATCAGAGCGGTCGCTTGTGAAGATTACATACAGGTGAGGTCTTGTGGAAAAGATGGAGAGCTATCAAGAACTGCTTAAAAACGCGAAGGTTGTTCTAGACGATTGTAACTATGGTTTTTGGAAGTCAAGAATCAAATCTGTGATAAGAGGGATAGATGTGTTAGCTTGGAAAGCTGTCTTGGAAGAATGGAAAGAACCACAAATTAAGAATGAAGATGGAAGCTTCACAGCCAAACCCGAGTCAGACTGGACTGAAGATGAGAAGAAAAAGTCTAAATTCAATGCTAGAGCTCTCACAGCTATTCACTGCAGTGTTGGAAGGAAACAATTTGACTTAATTCAGGGCTGTGAAACTGCTAAGGAAGCTTGGGATATTCTGCAAATACACTATGAGGGAACGATTAAGGTTCAGACTTCAAGAAAAGATTTGATAGCTTCAAGATTCGAGAATCTGAAGATGGATGAGCAAGATTCAATCTCTGATTTTAGCTCTAAACTAAGTTCATTGGCGCAAGAAGCTTTAACGCTTGGGAAGAAGTATAAAGACAAGAAGTTGGTCAAGAAATTTCTAAGATGTCTACCTTCAAGATTTATGGCGTACAAAACAGCTCTAACAGTGTCAAATAATACTGATACTCTCAGTTTTGCTGAAGTTGTAGGGATGCTTCAGGCTCATGAGCTTGAATTAGGAGGAACTAAGAAACCAAAAGGGTTGGCGTTGACATCTTGTGAAAGCAAATCTCAAGCAGAAGAAGAAGATTCATTGAGTCTGTTAGTTCGAAGGTTTGATCGGTTGTTGAAAAGAGCAGAACAAGGACAAGGACAGAAGAAGTTTGGATCTTTCAAAAAGAATACTGACGATACCAAACCATCAAAGAAAGCTGACATGCAATGTCATGAATGTAAAGGGTATGGACACTTTATTCGTGAATGTCCAACAGTCAAGAAAAGAGAAACTAAATGCACAACATGCAAAGGAATGGGACATGCTCAAGATGACTGTATCAGTAGTCGAAAAGAAAAATCAATGATTGGTATTGAAGAAGAATCTGAGGAAGAGAGTGAGGAAGAAGATATCTTAAATTATGTAGCATTGATAGGCATTACTGAGTTTGTTGAAGGTGAAGAAGAAACTGACTCTGAATCAGATGAGGAACAACAAGTGAATTTTGTTGAAAGTTACAAAGAGGTGAGAGAAACTTTGATTAAACTTGGTACAGAAAATCAAGATTTGCTAAAAGAAAAGATACGTCTCGAATCACTTGTTGAACTATTACAGAATCAACTAGAAGATGAAAAGAAGATTAGCAAAGAAAGTTTGAGTTTGATGAAAGAAAAACTAAGCTTGTCTGCTAAAGCTGATAATTTGGAGAAAGAACTGATCGCTGAAAGGAAGATATCTGCAGGACTACAAACAGAACTTAATCAACAACATCGGAAGATTCACATGTTTGCTGGAACAAAACAACTAGATCAGATTCTAAGCTATGGAAGGACGGAAAAAACAAACAAAGGACTAGGGTACACTGGTCATGGAGAAACAAGCACAGGTCAAACCAAGTTTGTGTCTGGAGGAATATCTCATCATGCACAAGATGAATCAAGAAAAAGTGTTTTCAAAGGCATCGGATGCTATTTCTGTGGAAAGATTGGGCACATAAAGATTCATTGTTACAAGTACTGGGAGAAAGTGGGAAAACTCAGGTATCAAAGGAAGTTTACATGGAATGGATATAAACATCAAATCTGGGTAAAGAAAATTGATCTATATCCAACTCTAGTCAGAAGAACTGCAGAAAGAGATACAGGAAGTAGAGCAGGACTTGGTTTTAGATGCAACATGGCGTTAGTCACAGAGGAATGCGAGAAAAAGAGTCCTTGGTACTTTGATAGTGGGTGTTCACGCCATATGACAGGCACAAAAGATTACTTACAAGACATCAAGAAAATCAAAGGAGGTAAAGTGACTTTTGGTGATGGAGGTCATGGAGACATACAAGGTAAAGGAAAAACTAGTGATGTAGAGCTACCTCAGCTGATGAATGTCTATCTTGTTCGTGGATTAAAGGCTAATCTTATTAGTGTAAGTCAGTTGTGTGACGAAGGTCTAGAAGTTACTTTCACTAAAGAAGATTGTAAAGCATTTGATGAAACCGGTGACATTGTTCTAGGAGGTAAGAGAACAGGAAACAATTGTTACATGTGGGAAAACCGTACAACCAACTGTTTCTCTGCACGAGACAACCTTAATCTATGGCATCAACGTCTAGGTCACATGAATACAAGAAATCTGACTACTTTGGTTGACAAAGAAATTATCCGAGGAGTTCCTAAGCTTAAAGATGAAGATAAGATGATGTGTGGTCCATGTAATCAAGGGAAACAAGTCAAAGTGCAGCACAAGAAAGTTCCAGATGTTCAGACTAAGTCAGCACTTGATTTGGTTCATATGGATTTAATGGGGCCAATGCCAATTGAAAGCATAGCTGGGAAGAAGTATGTGTTTGTATTGGTAGACGATTTTTCTAGATATACATGGGTGAGATTCATTCGAGAGAAGTCAGACGCAGCAGATAGTTTCAGAATATGGGCTCTTCAGCTTATCAATGAGAGAGGAGGTATTAAAAGAATAAGAAGTGATCATGGTGGAGAATTTCAAAATGAATCCATGAAAGATTTTTGTGAAAAGCATGGAATTGCACATCAGTTTTCAGCTCCAAGAACACCTCAACAAAATGGGGTTGTAGAAAGGAAGAATAGAACTCTTCAAGAGATGGCTAGAGCAATGATGCATGGAAATCAGGTTCCACAGAGGTTTTGGGCAGAAGCAATAAACACATCATGCTATATCGTCAATAGGGTCTATGTGAGAAGAGATTCGATGAAGACTCCATATGAGTTATGGAAAGGAAAGACTCCGAATCTGAGCTACTTTCACGTGTTTGGATGCAGATGCTATATACTGAATGACAAAGACTACCTTGGAAAATTTGATTCCAGAAGTAATGAAGGCATGTTTCTGGGTTACTCAGAGACTAGTACAGCATTCATAATCTACAACAAAAGAACGTGTGCTATTATGGAATCAGTTAATGTTGTATTTGATGATCATTATGTGTCAAAGGTTAGTGAAGAACTTGAAGAAAGTGACACAGAACTGGATGAGATAACCAATAAAGAGGTTAAAGAAAAAGTGGATGGTTCATCGATAGAACAAGAAGATAGTCACAAAGAAGCTCAGAAAATTCAGGTACACAAAAATCATTCATCATCAGACATCATTGGAGATCTCCAAGATCCGATGAAAACCAGATGTGTAAAGCTTGATTTCAAGAAGATGACAAGTAATTTTGCAGAATGGGAAACTTTGCAGTTTCAATGCTTTGTTTCATCCGTTGAACCAAAAAATCATGTTGAAGCACTTGAAGATAATTTCTGGATCATTGCTATGCAGGAAGAGCTAGAACAGTTCGAAAGAAATGAAGTTTGGGAATTGGTTAAACGACCTGCGGATACAAATATTATAGGAACCAAATGGATTTTTAAGAACAAGAGTGATGAAAAAGGAGTAGTTGTCAGAAATAAAGCAAGATTGGTAGCACAAGGGTATAATCAAATCGAAGGTGTTGACTTTGAAGAAACGTTTGCACCTGTAGCAAGACTTGAATCAATCAGACTTTTCTTGGGAATGGCTTGTATTCTTAACTTCACGGTTCATCAAATGGATGTTAAAAGTGCTTTTCTAAATGGTATACTACAAGAAGAAGTATATGTTGAGCAACCTAAAGGATTTGAAGATATGATGAAACCTGAGTATGTTTTCAAGCTAAAGAAGGCTCTATATGGACTCAAACAAGCACCTAGAGCATGGTATGAAAGGCTGACTAACTTTCTGCTTGAGAAAGGCTACAACAGAGGAAGTGTTGATAAAACTTTGTTTATTCTTGAAGAAAACAAAGAGATCATGATGGTGCAGATTTATGTTGATGATATTATTTTCGGGAGTACTTCTCAGAAGTTGGTGGATCAGTTTATAGAGAACATGACAAAAGAGTTTGAAATGAGTTTGGTAGGTGAATTGAAGTATTTCTTGGGATTGCAGATAGTTCAATCGGATGAAGGAATCTACATCACACAGAGTACTTATGCTAAGAAGATCTTGAAGAAGTTTCAAATGGATAAATGCAAAGAAGCTAAAACTCCTATGAGTACCTCATTGAAATTATCAAGAGATGAAAATGGAACAGATGTAGACGTCAAAACTTACAGAGGAATGATTGGAAGTCTCTTATATCTAACTGCTAGTAGGCCTGATTTATGTCTGAGTGTTGGAGTTTGTGCTAGATATCAAGCAAAGCCTAAACAGTCTCATCT